ACCTTTGAGAACCCTTGCACAGCAGTGACACTGTTTCATGACATCATAGGTGTAGTTATATTTAGATCATCATACGATTCTCTTTTCTATTTAATGATTGGCTAGTTAGTTCAGATTCAGATTCAGTCTCCGCTTCAATATATGTATATAGGTAGCTCGTTGTAGTCAGTAGTTCTTTAGTTCAAACCTCTTTTGTATTAGCTTACTGCTAGCAATCCTAAGACTGTCCCTGCTATCCTTTATCCTCTTGTTGTGATATCCTTGTTTGAGTCCTAGTCTCTGCCCCTGCATTAATTCGTTATAAGGGTTGTGACACTGGTTGGACGATGGATGGATGCTCCTGGATGATGCACGATGCAGGGCGCTTAAGCGCGAGAAAGCGCGCAAGGCGCGCATGTGGGAATACTGCGTGTTGTGCGGGAAAGTAGCGCGCCTATGGCACGTTTCGCAGGAAGTGGTGCGCTCCATGGTGGAAGTCATAGTGGATGATGGTGCAAGTTGTGCCATGAAGGCCAGTTGTCAGAATTTGTAAAATGAGCCCATATGAGCCCACAGAAACGCGAGTCTCTACACCGAGAGGATAAGCAACATAATTACCTGGTAGGAAAAGGGCAGGCTGAGGTGACACCAGTGGAATGTGAGGCAAAGGTGAAGAATGCATGAGAGGTTTTTACTATAGATGGGATGCCAGATGAGGTGAAAGAGACAGCTCATCAAGTGTTATTGAAGTACTTCAGTATTGCAGGTCAGTAATTGCTATCAAGTATCATCGCGGAAAAAGATCATTTAGAATCATGAGATGACAATGACGACCAGCTTCCCTCAACCACTCATCAGATTTCCAAGCAGGAAGCTCTGGTTCATCATCCCCAGTAACCCCACCATAGCTGGAGATATCAACATCAGCTCCATCATCCTCAGCATTATCTCAATTGGGATCAGAACTATCAAAAGCAGAATAAGTTCAGGGACATCTCCAAGGTCAATGCATATATTGTGCAGAGTGAAAAGTGCCTCAACAACACAATAAGTATTGCAGATGTCCTGCTCAGGCGGCAAATCTTTCAAACAGGGACTTGGAAAATGACCCTTGAGTATACCAAACACATGCTCAACAGTGATTCATTGCAAAGACAAGTGCTTGTTAATTTGCAGCAGCAGACTGTTTCAGCAGGCAGCTGCCTATTGACCTCTGGTTTGGTGAATGGGCAGAGGACATAGGGTGACAACAGATAGCCAGAGTCAGGGTCAGTGCATGGAAGGTATGAGGGCAAAGGAGAGTATACCTTTATCAGCAAGAAGAAGAGCATTTGTTTGAAATAATCAAGTTGATGTTGCCAGATGTGAGACTTCTTCCACATTGTGACATCTGATACTGATACTGGCCATCCTAGCTTGATTGCTGTGAATCATTTCTCATGGTCAACAACAGCTTGAACATTGATCTATGTATCAGGTAAGTTAACAGAAAACATTTGAGTTGTATTCAAGATTGACTTACAGCAGGATATTTCTTTTGACAAATAAATGTTAGGCCATTTCGATCCAGCATCTCAGTAAGCCACACGAGGGAGCCATTGAGCATCCCGATGCAATCTGGAATTCCTAACCGGTGAGGCGATCTCAACCTGGCTGGGCTGATATGAAATATCTAAAAATGCTCAACCAGTATAAGTGAGTCTTGGCTCTGCCTAGCTGCTATACTCGCAGAATGCAAGAACGTTTGACCCTAAAGGGGACTGCTACTGAACACAGAACCAGATGAAAGAAAGACCCTTGAAGTGTGATGGATGCGTGAAAGCGCAAGAAGAAAAGCGAAGTGAGCGCGAAGCGTGAGAGAGCGCACTAAGGTAAGCACGAGCATGGGAACGTGAGCGCTAAGGCATGCGTTGTGCATAAAATACCGGATAAGGAAATGGATAAGGAAGCAGATGTGCAAAGCAAGTGCAAATGCAGAGCGAGTGTTATAATGAGTGCGGATAAAGGTCTAGTATAGGCGGATAACGATAACCATTGGAAACACAAAGTGCACCCAAGTGGTGACTACTACTTTAAAGTAAAACCCAATAGTGAGGGAAGTACAGCAAAGGGGAGTAATAATGATGGAGTAGTAAGTCAGCAACTTTATACTATGGAAATCACATCAGGAAGCGGAAGGGATTTATTTTTTTTTTTTTATCCTTGTTTATTGTCCCGTGGGGCGGGGCCCTATGGTGGACACTACCTACAATATTGTACGTTGCTAAATATATATTGTGACTCTGGTGTGTCGGTGCTAATCAATGGTCCGTGCGTGAGCAGGGACAGTGATGCCGTCTCAAGGCGTTGGAATATTGTGTTACATTTTGCGTGCGCTTCTCCTCTTCTCTAGCTGCTCCCTCTTTCCTTCTTCCTCATTCCTTCTCCTCTGGGGGGGTGATGTCTCCGAAAGCCTGTTCCATTCTTCTTGTGCACACGATGTATTTGAGTGTCGCTCTGATTCCTTTGCTTTCGCTTAGAAGATATTTGATGTGGAGCTGGCGTGGTCCTACTTCCATGCTGAGTGCGTTGCGTTGTCTGGCGAATTTGGGGCATACTAACAGGAAGTGGTGGACAGTTTCTTCATGGGCATGGCATTCCTGGCATGTCGCTGACGGCGCTCTAGCTATGCGGTGGAGATGTTTGTTGAGGGCGATGTGACCGGTGCATAGTTGGAAGAGTAGCGTCCCATGCTTTCTTGGTAGGTCTGCGATTTTGCTTGTGAATTTCTGCGATGCAGGGCACTTAAGTGCGAGAAAGCACACAAGGCGCGCATGCGGGAATACTGTGCATTGTGTGGGAATGTATCGCGCCTATGGCGCATTTCACGGGAAAGCTGCACATTATGTGCGGAATGGCTAGAGACATAGTAGAAGTCGAATATAGCTGATGGTGCGAGTCGTGCATTGAAGGCCAATTGTCATGAGTTGTGAAAAGGTGCAAAATGTGCCCATATGTGCCTGCAGAAACGCGAGTCTCTACACCGGTCCATAACATGTCTCAGTCATTTCATTTCGACAATCCTTGTCACTCCAGGTGATTACTTGCATCTCAATCTCCTGCAGAGCACATACTACGCACTTGCAATAGAGAAAAACAGTTCCAAAACCAATCCCAAGCTTATGGGCAGCTTGCATGGAGTCCACCACCATGAGTCCCATAATGAAGGAGGAAACACGCGAGTTGATAGCACACAGGTCACTGCAGCTTTCTTCCTGTTGATTCAAAGATTGGATTCTGCTCTGATATTTGCACTAAGCAGTCAAACATTGCATGACCAACACTGTCAGAGCATCAGCATATTAAGGAGAACAAAAACGAAGCACACTCACTGATATTCACGACAAAAGTCTTGATCAGGCCAACTTAATAATATATCAAAGAATTGGTTGCACTTTTGCCACTGGATATAGGGACCACGAGACTTGTGCATGAATAGCATCAGAGAGAGCACACGAAGGCCTCTTGCTGTCCCATGGAAAAAGTAGGTGAGCTGTTCAGTGACTTCCTCATTGTTGAAATCTTGATGTTCCAAAGTGAAAAGTTCCTCGAGGTGGCCTTGCTTATGCCTGGATACAGCCAATGTACTGGCCAGAACAGAATGTAAAGTTAAAATATCCTTATGATCTTGCTTTTGTAGCTGTGCACGGGGCATATTGATCACTGTTGAACATCAAACAATGCATTGAATTGGCATTGACTGATGGGAACTGATAACAAAATTGCCAGCTAACAGCTGGTGTGTGGTTCCAAATAAGGAGTTGTAAGTGTCAGCAATTAGTTTTGTAACTTGCTTGGATCCCAGGTGAATGTGAACTTTTAGAATTGAGCAGCCCTAAGATTACCTTACTTGCCAAGGTCATATGAAAAGTTACTTTGTGCTCAGATTACTGTAGTATTTTGTTCAATTCAACACACCCTTGTGACCATGACATCTTTGGTGCTTTCGACATTTCGACAGATCCACCTGTGACCTGTGACATATCCTAAATTTTCATCAGTCTTAATATCATTGGCCAGGAAATTTGTTAAGCCTAACTGCAATCTATTGTGAGGTGAAGAAATTGAGAATTCACAGCCTTTGCACAAATAGTGTACCTAGCGTGTGAAAATTGCTTCTGCTGTCACTCACTGGATCAATTTGACAAATGCGCTTGTGACCTGTGACAGGTGCCAAATTTCATTTTCAACAAGGGGGTATGTGACATGTGACTGTTGAATTAAATGAAATACTACAGTAAATACAAATACAAATAAAGAACTCAGGAAGTGCCGCCTGCGCCGGCAGAAACCTTACTTGACCAACTAACATGACTGGTAACAGGAAAGAAAAAAGTTCATTTGCTGCTTGGATTGAATTAACGAGCAGATACAATTTTGGGAGAAGAGGCTATAACTAGACCATACTAAAGGATCAACTGAGATTAGCACAGATTGTAGATGAAGTGTCAACTTGAGAAATTCAATGAAATAGTGCGTATCAAAGGGAATGTTGGATGAAATGGATGAGTGAAGAAACAAAAAATGAATTTTAAGACCGCACTACAAAGAAAGTGAGTATCGTACATGCAGCTGCAGCGAAGGTATCTGAACTCACATCAGTTAGGGTGGTTGGCGACTCATTGGGATCGAAACTGCATTACAAGGAACTTCGTAAGCACTGAACAGCTTCAGTAAAGATGCATCAACTCACATCAGTTACGGTTCCTTTTGGTTGGTGACTCATTTGGATCAAAAAATTGAGAGACAGTTCTCTTGCGAGGTGTTCCAGGAAGAGGAGTGGGCAGAGAAATGACACATATCATTACAATGTCAGCAGTGTATGTGTCAATACCACTATTTGGCAGCTTGTGCTTCTTTGGAGTAATTGGCCAGTGAGATAGAGAGAAGTGCAACTTGATGGTGGCACCTCCAAGTATGCGGCAGTATTGCCGTGGGTCAATCAGGTTGCCTTTCAGATCATATGCCAGGATGGGAACTACTCAATGGGTTTTCTTGATCCCCTCCAGACCACCCTTGGCAGCATCGTTGACCGTTGGCCAGTTCTCGATCAAAAAGATACCATCAAGTTCTAGATAACCGTATCCATACACAATTAAGCATTTGAGCAAATGTATAATAGGGCTAACATACTGTTGGTTTGGGAATCTGAGTTGTGCTCTTCGTCCTCTGTATTGTTGGTGGCCAGATCATCACTGTCAAGTGGCTTCGCACATCAATTAACATCAAATAAATAATGGATATTACTACTTATTTCAAACAGCGCATGGCGCACTTTGAAGCAATATTCATCAGTGTATGGTGGGAAAACACCACGTTTGAGGATAAAGCCATCAGTTGTAATGATGTCTTGCACCCACTTCAGGTTCTCGATGACAACGTCAAAATCAGTGTTGAAGGACTCAATATTTGGCCGCTCATTAGTGCAAGAGGGCTTAATAGTAGCGAAATCCGGCCAGAAGTAGGATGCTCCCTTGTAGCTGGCATCTGCGGTCAAGTAATAATCATTGGAAGATACTTGCGCGACTGCACTGAGGACTGCAATCTCTGGTCCTAGCAGGTCAGTTGCTGGGCCAGAAGCAGAGGTTGATGGTGTGATGACAAGTTGATTGGCCTTGCCCATGCGGCACCATGCAATGCTCTTGTGAAATGAATGATCACCTATATATCTGACGGTCAAAAAATGTTGAGAACTGGTATAAAACGCATCACCGATATACATGCCAGATTCGACAAGGCAGTCTTGAATCTGACTGAGACGTGTTGGCATAGTTGGGAGAGTTGTGGTACAAGGCATTGAGAAGATGCGACAGTGTCACAACCCTTATAACAAATTAACGCAGGGGCAGAGACTAGGACTCAAACAAGGATATCACAACAAGAAGGATAGAGAATAGCAGGTATGTCTTGGATTGCTAGCAATGAGCTAATACACAAGAGGTTTGAACTGAAGAACTACTGACTATAATGAGCTACCTATATACATATATTGAAACGGAGACTGAATCTGAATCTGAACTAACTAGCCAATCATTAAATAGAGAAAGGAATCGTACAATGATCTAAATATAACTACACCTATGATGTCATGAAACGTGTTACTGCTGTGCAAGGGTTCTCGAAGGTTCTAGGGTCACGTGACTTGATCGCTTGTGAAAGGAAGTCGAAATCGGGAATGTTGGAGATAAAGGTAGTGGGTGCTAATGGAATAGAGAAGTTGGGAAATGTAAAGGATGGGTTCGGGTTAGGGTTTGTGAAGGTTATAGGTACAGACACTGACTGAGCGCTAACGACAGGCGCTTGTGATGGGCGCTTAACGGGTGTTTTACGAGTGTTCAAGTAGGAATAATGATTTGTATTTGGAACTCGTGACAGACAGGGTATAGCCTGAGTGAGCAATAAATAAAGGAGAAAGATAGAATGTAAAGCGGGACAAGAGACAGTTAAAATAATAAATGAAATCGCTCACCTTTTATATGCCTGGCCCAGGTCTGTGCACAGGAAAATCTACCAAGAGATAATTGCAAACCAGAGTGCAGCGTCCCTTGCCAAATAAAGCCATAAGTATTGTGTCAGGAACTCAATGACAGGCTTTGGCTCTTACCAGACTACCAATGGATACTGCACAATCAAACGATGACTTAAACCACCTATCCATCAAAGAAATCCTTGCGTGATTGAAGGGTATCATTAGCTTCTCGTGTGAGGAATGCAGCAAAAAAGACAAGCTCGTGGCCCGAATACTCACCAGTGCACCGCAAGAGCAAATTGACTTCCTCCAGCAGGCTGGGCAGATGAAGAAACAAGAGGCAGAGGGAAAAAGGCTTGAAGGAACAAGAAAACATAAATGTGCTGATGATTGTCTGGCACATCGAGTTGCTCAGAGACTTGATGATATGGAGGAGGAGACACCAGCAAAGGATGCATATGACTCTGCAAGGTTCCTGGAGCTTCCATCAACAGAAGAGGTGAAAGATTGTTACCGGAAGTTCTATGATGCAACATCAAATGCTGCACTGGCATCTGGTGTTTGTGGTGTCTGCGTGCGGGAGGCTGGAGCCATGGAGTAAAAGCTGATGCAGATTCACTTTGATGACATTCCCAATGTATGTCAGCTGGTTCCTTCAGCTCCTCATCCTGCCCATGATCTCCATAATGGAAAGCTCCTGGAGCCCACTGGCGTCAAATCAGAATGCAACAATACCTGGGTTAATGTCTGTCAAACCTGTCAGCATGACCTCCAAAATGATGGCAAAAAACCACCTCGTCTTTCACTTGCCAATAACCTGTGGATCAGACGAGTTCCATGGCAGCTCCAAGTCTTGACATTTCCAGAGCAGCTCCTTATCGCCCTCCTCTATCCTGCGTGTTTGTATTCAAACTGTTTCCAAAAAAGTTCAGTTGTGTACGTGATGCATCTACGCTTCAACGTGGGATGTGGGGAAATGTTAGTACCTACGATATGCCCTTGAAGGGGGTTGCATTGATGCTTGAGGGAAAGCTCCTGCCTCGTACCCCTGCAATACTTGCCTCAATCATCTCTGTCACTTTCATCGGCCATGGCAAGCTACCACGTCATTGGATGCGGACAACATGTTGTGTCAGGCGCCAGGTTGTGTTCAATGCCCTACAGTGGTTGAAAATGAACAACACCAAATACTATGGAGATATTGAGATCAGCAATTCACGGATTGAGGAACTACCAGAGGATGATGTCCCACCAGAAATTATTGGGATAGTCTGCCAATTGATAGATGTTGGGATTGTAGATTAAGAGGGTGCTAGATATGTGCCAAATGATGATGGCGAGCAGGACAAAACATCACCAAATGACAAAGAAGAGCTGAATGACACAGAAGGTTAGTGCTTGGAATTACATGACCCATACAGATCGATTCTAATTTGCTTACCATAGGACCTGACATCATCCCTTTACAAGTGTCGGGCACAATCGATACTGATATGTCAAGGCTAGCCGCGAGTGAGATGATAACTTGGGGCCTTGCAAACCTATGGAATGAAGGGAAAGAGGGGGGTTATGCTGTGCAGCATGGTCAAAAGCCTGTCAGTGATTTTCCTCCCAATCCAAACGAGCACGGGAAACAAGGGGAAGAACATCACAATTTCTTCGAGAAGGCCTTTCCCTGCCTGTTTCCATATGGAGAGGGAGGGATTGAAGCAACACAAGCGGTCAAGGTTGACTTTGGAGAGCACGTCAGATGGGTGTTGTGCTACTATGACCGGCATTTTAGAAGACATGAGACCTTCCCATTCGTTCCATTTGGTATCCTGCAATGGCGGCAATCTCTTGGGTCTGCACAGCTCCAGATGAGGCGTCAGACATTCAAGCTTGATGTGAAGATTCTATCCACCATTACCCTGGATAAGCTTCAGAAAGCACAGAACAAAGAAGAAAAGAACCTACCGACTTTGGATCCTGCTATTCAGCTTCTGAAGAAACATATACAGTAAGCAACAAAACTGTTGCAATGTTTGCGTCATTTTGATTGTTCTGTCTGTATCATTACAGGACTCGCTGCTATTAACATGTAAATGAGGGCAATATTGTAGCCCTACATCCAGGCTACAATAGTTGTACCACAATTAAGGTGTGAAACAATTTCCATAAAGAGATACAAGTAATTTACTACAGGGTATGCATTGCAACGGTTTTGTTGCTGATAATTTATAATATGTTGAAGAGCTCTCATTATTCTTTCGCTTTAACTCTCATAGACATGGTCTCTGATGTTATTGCAACTTGAGACAACCACAATGACATATTAAAATCAACTAAATGCACCTGTACAATCACGAAAAAAGCAAGGTCATCGTGAAAGCCATGGCTTGAGCCGCTGGCTCCGGCTTTTCAATTTCCCATACCGGGCCCCAAGCCATGGTCAGGCCATGACTTGGACCTAGCTTGGCTCGGCCTAATTAGGGCCAGCTTTGGCCGGCCTGCGGCTTGAAGCCGGGCCGTGCACATCACTAGATCCTTATCTTAAACTAAAAATACTCGGCGGGAATGTCACGTGTATATGACAATGTGACTCTTGAAGGAGCCCTATACTTATGCCGCCGATAGCTTAAATTTGTATTACCAACTTATGGAGTCGGTACGTTGACTTGTACCTTGTAAAAAGGCGATCACCTCTCAGCACACATATCACTAGGGCATTAGCGCAACGTTCTCAGGCTGAACCCAGGGAAAACAAACCTTCAAGATGAGCAACAGCGAGTCTCCTCTCATTCACACCATGAGACACAACTATGGTTCGACACAATCCACTTCTGGCACATCCCGAGATGATGGAGCAATGGATAGACGGTCCACTGTCCCAAGTTTTGTTGCTAATAACGCCGGGATGCTATACATTATATCTTCCGAGTTTTTTTTCGCTTCCATGAATCTATCGGTGAAGTTGCTAAACAGCTTGGAGCCTCCGGTGCACGCGTTTGAAGTCAGCTGTTTCTTTATATTTATTTCCCGAACGGAATCAATCTCATTATAACAGGTTATTGTAGTTAGAATGGTGCGTCAAAGAGTTTTTACGAACTGCACTCATTTGAATATAGATTCGTCCCTAGGGCATCACGTTGACGTGCTGTGTGATATACATGTATGTTAGTTACTTCTTCAGACAATACCCTGCGACTGACGGCGCGAAGGATTGTCACGGGGGTCCCGAATCCGGTCATTGGCCCCAAAGGTGTTCGAACACTACTGGTAATCCGTGGGATCAGCGGGTGCGTATTAATCTACACACACAACCTCCATTTTTGGTGATCATTTCATCGCTCAGGTTTCTCGGATTATGTGGACTGTATCTGTCGCTTCAGTATCTATCTGTCGCAGATGCGACAGTCCTGACTTTCTTGACACCTCTTACAACTGCGGTTGCTGGATGCCTCCTCCTTAGGGAGGGCTACTCTGTCACTCAAGCCGTCGCGGGAGGTGAGAGTTATGCTCTGACCTCTCTTGTCCATAGATACTCAGAGGTGTCACTAGTTTGCAGTTTACTTGGTGTTGTCCTCATCGCTCGCCCCCCATTTCTATTCAACTCCATGCCAGCTGCTATTCCTGACTCGCTGGAAACAACCCCAGCACAAAGGCTGGCGGCTGTTGGGTGAGCGTCGTCATTTGTACATCGCTCCTCCCATTTCACCATTCAATGTTCGGTAGGGCATCTTTGATTGGTGTTGTTGGAGCCACTGGAGCATGTACGCATCGTTGTCGACCTTCTCACGTTGATGACTGCTTCAATGATTTTCGCAGATACCTCGATTCGCGCAATTGGAAAGCGAGCTCATCCGATGCATGTGATGACATTCTTTTCCTTGTGGTGCACCATCATCGCATCTTTGGGGTTCGCAGATATATCTTTGCATATTTGCGCGTCACATTAATCATTTGCTATGTAACAGGATGGTCGTCTTCAATATTCCTGTCGTATATCCTAGATCATGGAGATGGTCACTTCTTTTGCTCATGGTCGGTGTCTTTGGCTTCGTGGCACAGGTCAGCTACTAGTGACCCTCCATTCATTCACCGGTAATTCACTGCCTTTCCAGACTCTCTTGACGTTGGGGTTGCAACGAGAAACTGTATCGCGCGGTACCACTGGAATGTATATCCAGATACTTTTTGCTGTGGTGCTCGAACGCCTAATCTTCGGAGTTGTACCGTCTTTGCTGTCAGTTCTCGGCGCCGCTATCATCATGTCTTCCGCTCTCTGTGTCGTCGTGAGTGATCATCCTGTTCTGTTACATGACTCCTTTACTCATCTCACTATCAGTTGACAGGGCGACAACCTACCCCCGACAGCACCGCTGAAAGCACCGCTGACAGTACAGCTTAACATATTGGATACCTGTCCCTTCTCAGGGCGCACGAATTTACAGGTCTATATAAAACCTGTAATTGTTCCCTAGTATGAGAGCTTGTAGCACTCTGTGATGACTCCGAGTTTGCTCCGCCCGCTCATCTACCTCTCGACGAAAGCCTGAACACCATCACGGCATTCACAGCTGAGATTGACCGCGACACCTGCCCCTACCTTAGTGCTTGTTATTTCTGCCCCCGTCCTGTGGCATGCATCGTCACTTGTATCCTTTTTCCTTATCGCGCGGTAAGTGTGGTTCCTCGACGATCTTCCAAGTCCGTATCTTCCAGAGTCCCTCGCCGCGTGTGTTGTCTGTCGACAGCCTTCCGTAGCTTTTTTTTGATGCCGCTGGGTTAATCGTGGAATCACTGGGTGCACATTTGATCTACACGCAGAATCTCAATTTTTTGATGGTGATTTCGCCGCTCATGTTTTTCAGAATATGTGGACTGTATTGGTCTTGTCAACAGTCCTCATTTTCTTGGTACCTCTAACGACAGCACATCCTTTTCAAGGAGGGTTACTCCGTCATTCAAGCTGTCGCGGGAGGTGAGAGATATGCTCTTACTTCTCTTGTCTACGACCACTTATAGAGGCGTCATTAGTTTGCGGTTTACTTGGTGTTGCCCTGATCGCGCGCCTGCTTTCCAGCTGTCATCCCTGAAGGACGCTACTTGCTGTTAGAAATCAACCTGTCAATATGGTACATAGTTGCTTTTTCGTTTGACTTAGATACTCGTTCAGTACGCCAGCGGAGTTGTCACATCAGGTCACTCCACGCACGATACTTTCGTTACACTCGTTTTTTCGCCTTTTTCCCGAGTCTCTTATACTCGACTGGGGGTAAGTAATATCTTAGTATACTCACTACACTCCTTACTGATGTACTGTAGAACTCACCCGAGTTCGTTCTATTTAGACGCTTGCCGTCTTTCACTTGCCAGAATCGACCCCGGCGCAAAGACTAGTGGCTATTGGGTGAGCACCCTTCACTCAATTTACCATTCTATGTTCGGTGTGCTTGGTGCCACTGGAGCATTTACGCATTGTGACTGACCTCATGATAATGACCACTTCACTGGGTTTCCTCGGACACTTTAATTCGTGCGGAAACGCGCTCATCTGTTGCATCTAATGACATTCTATTTGTTGTGGTGTGCCATCGTGGCATCTCCGAGGTTCACAGATACATCCCTACACTTTACGTGTCGTGTTGATTATTTAGCATCTAACAGGATAATTGCCTTCAGCATTCTGTTGTATATCGACAAGGTGTGCATTTTGCTGTAGTGCTTGAACATATAATCTTCGGGGTTACGCTGTTCCTACTGTCAGTTATTGGCGCCGCCCATCGTTTCTACTTGTCTCGTCGTGAGTGGCCATAAATACACTGTCGTCGGTTAATAGTTTCTGACACGTGATTTACATGCAACCAGCCATATACTTCACCCAACAACTTGAAAGCAGTAACCTACCAAACGCGACACGGCCAGTGACATTCTGCGAGGGATCTATTCTTATTATTACTAGAAGTAGTATCTACATCTACAGTCTAGTCAGCAGTTAAGAATAGACCAAGGCCCCCGTTACCTCGGCAATGCATAAGGGAAGTTGAACGTTGAGGACCCACATACACGTTCAAATCACTGCGAGTGAGTGTTGTAACGTTGATTGTCAGAATCTGTCCACCGTCTAACGTCTAGCCGATGTTTAGCAGACCTTGACGAAACACCCCTGTCGCCCATCCGACAAGCTAAACTTAAACTTGCCATTAGTTCGGAGTTTGGTTTGTCGCCTTTCCCAGATTCACGGTTCTCTTCACCATGATGTAACAAGGCTTGCCGAGTTCAACTTCTCGACTGAAAAAAGCGTTTGTGTGAGGTAAGCGACAGACCCTGGTTAGCTCTGAGAGGTTCTCTTAAACATCGACTTGGTTAATATGCTACAGGTCACGTACCTCGAGACATCATAACTGGAATACTCTCACTGGTCACGTTGAGCAGTGAGAACTTTCCCGACAGTCAGCTGGTTTTTATTATTGTACCATCCACTAAAATTGTGTGGCTCTCAGTCAGCATATGATGTATATTAGGATCGGAGCACGCTCGAGATGACCCTGGCTGAGATCGATATCCACCTCGAACCCACGCGTCACTCCAGCCCTAGGCTGGTACGTTCAATTCCTCCCGTAACATCCAGTTGAACGTGACTGTAAATGAGCACGACAAACGCCTATATCGCCCTATCCCAGAGCCCAACGGAGGACGAAACTCACTTGGATGATATCGATCTAACATCTTCTGCCCCAACACGACGTCAATTTTTTGGTCCTCAGTCTAGATGGTTTGAGAATTTGCAGCTACGATGGCGAGGGGTAATTGCCTTCGTCGAGACGAACCTGGGGATGCTGTTGATCATAGTGGCGCAATTCTTCTTCGTATGCATGAACCTTGGCGTCAAGCAGCTGGACAGCCTCGATGTACCTATGCACACCCTTGAAGTATGTTCGCTTGTACATATCTTAAAAACCAGGCTTATAGTTTGATAGCTCATCGCAGTCCGTATGGTTGGTATTTCAATATATTCTGGCAGATACAAATCTTTGATCAAGCCGTCCGAATATTATCAGGGTATCACCCTGGCGTGCTGTGTATTATATATGTACGTCGTTCAAGTAACGGTTGTGTCCGCCCTCATATATGTTTTGACAGGGTTGCAATGAAGATTCCAGATCCTTTCCTTGGTCCCAAAGGCGTGAGGCTGTTGTTGGTGAACAGAGGCTTGTGCGGGTGAGTTCTGACTTGGAGAAATAGTCATTATAACACAGTTACTGAAATTCCCTCAAGTTTCTTCGGCCTGTTCGGGATGTACTATTCCCTGCAGTACCTTTCATTAGCAGATGCGACTGTGTTGAGTTTTCTTGCGCCGCTCTCAGCAGCAATAGGTGGATACATCGTCTTAAAGGAGCCTTATTCGAAGCATGAAGCATTTGCAGGCAGTTCGTGCAATCATCCTTTCTTAGCGTCCTTCTGACACTTATTCACGCTCATTGACGTTCATTCCCCTAGTCGTGAGCTTGCTTGGTGTCATTTTAATTGCTCGACCGCCTTTTTTGTTTGGTAATACTTCAAGCGTAAACTCGGACAGCAGTGATGCGGCTTCTAGAGCCACTGCGACAGACAGGATACGAGCTGTCTGGTAAGATACCATTATCCTCGATGTTTTTTTTGCTTCAACCTTCTCCAAAGTGTTGCTGTTTTTGGAATTGTCTTAGGGACTGGTGCCTGTACGTCGTTGTTGCCCACGAGAGCTACTTCATAACCAGTGTGTTGCAGTATTATCAATGCGTGCGATAGGCAAACGCGCTCATCCGATGCATCTTATGATGTTTTTTTCTGCATGGTGTACAATTGTTGCCTCCTCTGCGTGAGCTCCATTGTCGTGTCTTATGGCTCGCGCTCTGATTAATATTGGCGTGCAGAATGTACTTCATGATGATTCCAATTGTTTACCCTCACAACTGGAAATGGGCTGCCATGTTGATTTTCATCGGACTTTCGGGTTTTTTCGCGCAGGCAAGTTGTTGTCATTATCCTTGACTTTGCCCGCTTAAAGTCGATTTAAAGACTTTGACTACGATCGGCTATCAACGCGAGACTGCAGCACGTGGTTCTATGGGTCAATATGTACAGCTCTTATTCGCTGGTGTCCTGGAATACGTATTCTTCGGCACAGTTCCTTCAACGCTATCGCTCATCGGAGCCGCTATCATCATGACATCGGCTATATACGTTATTGTGCGTTGTCGTTTTTTGTGATATCTGTTTTGTGGATTTCAAATACTTCTGTTAGGTTTTAAAGAAGGGTTCACCGAAGACACCTGAGGTTATTAGCCTCAGAGAGGTGGACTCCGACCTTGAGGAAGGCCTGTTGTATGCTGAATCGCTAAACACGACGATTAAACTTTCCGAGACGAGCTCAAGCGGGAGGATAGGGCATGACGAAGAATTAAAGGAAAAGCCACTATGATACTGCGTGAAGTTTATGATTTAACAACCTACTGTCATATTTACAACCACATATGCCCTTGATGCCGGCTGAAGATGGTGACGGTGACGATGACGATGTGTTTTCTACGCTATGAAAAATGATGTATAGGTCCTGTGTTGACATACAAGCTCACTGGACTGCTCAATAAAAGAGTGAGCAATGAAAACGAGAAGAAGAAAGAATAACTTATAGGGGTGTTACGAAGGTTCAGGAGTATGTATCACGTGATTCTTTGGTGATTCTTTGGTGACCGTCTTTGTTGATTGATCCCTTTGTGTCGCCTTGCCAGTATTTATGCCAATGTTTTTAAATCGAAGGCCTTCTATCCTTGTTGGAATTTCGAAGGTTGCAAACGCTCAGTACGCTTTGTAAATTCCCACCGTGCACAGACCCTCGAAGTTCAAGGACAAGGTATATTTGAATTATCTGTCGACCCGTCCCCTCATCATTGGCTTGTATAGATTGTATATATATATGCATGGAGCCAGAAACATATTACTATCAGATTGGTGGCTTCCGAGCTCATTCTGATGGATGGTGAGCGCCCCGCATTGAGTAATCGCGTCCGCCCAACGGTTCTCCAGGTTTCAGATGTACGACGACAAACCAACGATAGATGCTATTGCGAATTACGAGGGTCCTGAACTCAGGCCTGGAGGCCCTGGCGCACCTATCGAGTTGGTCTTAGGTACTAGCATATTCTGAATTTTCGTGTCGCACATCGACTTATATTGCACACTACAGGAATTCTGCATAATGGTGCTTCATACGTCCTCATGACATCTCATCAAATGTGGGCATTCGTCCGGAAGCACCACTTGAGGCCTTCTCCTAAGAGACCGTGGAAAGTGGACGAATTCGCTTCGCTATCCCCGATTTATTTTGCTACAAAGGGTGACCTTCAGGACAAGCTCAAGACCTACAAGGTGAAATCCCAAAAGAACAAAAAGGATAAGTGGGACAACAGCCCTGCCAACCGAGGGTTTTTTCAACTTGGGGATAGGGGCGCTCCGGGCAATCCACGGGCAGACTTTGAGACCCAAAGGTTCGGTGGGGTCATGCCACAGATTTGATTGGTGACTGACCGTTTTAAAGAGTTCTATATCGGTTTGTTTACGAAAAGCGCCACTCCGGGAGCCCTTGGGCTAATCAATCCGCCTTGGGCTGGCGCAATCAGAGTGATCTCGATAGTCGTAAACACGTGGCACAAGGATAGACGTAGCGAACGTTTTGACAATCCCAGCATCATCGATGTCGGATGGACAGATGTGATGATGCCGGGAGTACTTGGAATCTAGACGAGTAACAGAAACCGTACACATAAAGATGAAAGGACTCGCACTGAAAAACGAGGAACAGAATGCGGTACCGCTGTTTACCTACATCCATATGTGTTATCTGACAGTTTTTCTCAGCCTTTCGAGCATGGGACCACCAGCCAAGATGGCACGGTGGATATGCTTTACTCGGATATACGAAGGCTTTTCACACACGACTCCGCCAATGTTCCGCTTGTATTACTAGTTCACGATGAGGAGATGGTGCGCGGAGTGCTTGCACGTTCCGGAATTGATGTCGGGTCATTTACCTCCGTTGCTGCGCTGTTCCAGCGTGGTCAACATCAGGTAGCACGTCTCTTTGCATCACCAGGGATCGATCTTAATTATACATACAGAAACTACCGCGCCGAAGGTCCTCCAGATCACCTTCCCCGCGACGCTTGAACGGTGGCGCGTCTCATTTCTCACGTGACTATGAACGACGCTGGAAATACGAACCCGACAATGATATCAAACCCTTTCCTGTGAATCAAGAGGGCCAATCATCATCATCATCCGTACGCATCAAAGAAGATGACAAGAAACTGGGACCGTCACAACAAGATGGTGCCATTCCCCTCCCAGCTGGATGTATCGTAAACGTGCAGAAAATGGTCAGGACTTTAATGCGGGTTGCTCAAACTGGCCCTAGCGTGCAGGCGACAGCGCAACGCATGAATATACCAGCAAACCCACGTCTCCCGTGTGCAGGCAATGAATGCCAGTAGGTGTCCAGCTCGCATGACCGCCTTTCAACAGATTTCATTCATGCATAATCTAGCTTACTCTTGAACATGTGGATTTCAATGATAGAGGGACGTGCAATCGACGAGCAATGGATGGACCGCTTAGCGCACCCAATTCAGCCTCCTTCACCAACCATAGATCCAGTGGAGGTCGGTACAGACGAGGACGTCGACCCGAATGACTATATACCCCCGTCGATGAGAAATACCGGCGGAACGACTGCCCAAGAGGATAACTGGTCCGACGACGATTGGTAGAAGTGATATTGGGCATTCCCACTAAGTTTGTCTTTCTTCTTGCTTGCGTGGATAGCTGATTTTTGCTATCACGAGCTATCGAGCATCCTATAATATGAAATGGACAACGGACCGCGATGTATAACACACTTGTCGTGACAATACGTTGTAGAAGCGTCATCAATTGGGTGCTCAACTTCGTTAACGCTCTGAACTTCTTCAGTCCTTTTCAACTCTTCGAGAGCTGCAAATTCAGCAGCGATTGTCGTCAGGCGAGATACTCTCTGGACCAGCAAGAAGGACATCTGCATCGAAAGCGCAGGTGCCCACACGAAGGATGCTTCAAGATCCTGTGAAGTCTCAACAGCAATGCCAACATCTTCACCGAGCGTGCATGTGATAATGTCGACGACGGATGGACTTCCCAGCCTCCGCGGCTTTTACGGCGCTGTAGTGTCGAAGGTCTGCACGAATTTTTCCGAGTGTTTCAAATGTGTCAATTGAGATATTACACCGTCGCACGGATTGTGTTGTGCTGAGATCAGAGAATGTGCGTTCTACATCACCTGCATGCCCTACAAATGAGAGGATAGTCACAGCAAAGGCTATGAGTAGGTGAATTCGGTGCAGACCTTTCATTGTGGCGTCTACGTCCTGCTCCGCTTCCTCAGGTGGTCTCACGGCCGCCTGCAACGCACTGTGTATCCCACTCATGCAATACAGCGCTCGCAGCATGTCGATGCTCTCATTCAACCGTGTCCTTGCTCTTGGCTCTCAGTTGGTATACGACACCGGACGGTGTGTTTTATTTATTCCTATTTCTAACTATTTTACGTACAGTACCCACGGGTACGGGTACGGGTGCGGGTATTACAGTGGTAGCCAGAGTAAACGATTATGAAGCGATTCTGCGTGTGATTACGAGACGATTCAAAATTCGAAGATCGCATGAAAATCGCCATCCACTTTGAACACCCCGCAGCGAGAACGGATTCTCAACGCGATTCTGGTTGGATTCGTAAATAGGTATGTATACTAAAACTGGCAGTTCCTAAGGTGAGTTATACATATGTTTTATCTGTTTTCTGATATATTTCACGCACTTGATATTATTGATCATGGTTAGTGCTGGGGCAGAACTATTTGCGGGCAATTGTGCCGGCACAACCGGTAGAAGTGGCAGAACCGCCACTTCTGTCACTTGGCAAGACTATCAAGGCGCTGCAGAGCTGTCCGTACGACAGTATGTCACTAGGAAACACCATTAGAAGACACCAGCATGTCCACATCCCACTGTCCGTCGTTGTGTGAGGTTCGTTTCCATCACTCAGCAACTACATCGTAGATGACTGGCTGGGTGCTGGTGTGCATGTGTGCATGACGTCGATGAATTGGCCTGACATTAGCCACGGCCTTCTGATGACTATGGCAATGAAAATTTGCTCAAATCTTTGCTTTTGAAAGTCTACTGTGAGATTGCAGCGATGCTACGGACACTAAGTGGCTGACTAAGCTACAGTGCTACGGGCCTAGCTGCTACTCTGCCCGGGTCCCCTACTTCAACGTGGGCAGCATGGGGAACAATAATCTATGAAAGAATGATTGCAAGTGCCTTCAAAGTATTCTACTCTACAGTTAAGGAAGTGCAGTTGCTGGTGAAGAAGGTTATTAGAACATCTTTCGCTGTGATCCCCTGACATTCTGCCGGATTCTGCCAGCGGAGTTCTACCATAGGCAGAACACCGGCTGGCAGAATGGCCAGCAGACTTCTACCCACAACTCATATGATAAATGGTTGCGCTTTTTTTGCCTCTTTTACGAGTACTTTTTTTGAGCTTTCCGAGTCAACGAAGATGCTTGTCGGACGCCTTTTCGGCCCCTTTGGGTGCCATGCTGCTCGAGTGCGGAGAGGGTGCTCAGGTGCTTGCTTGCGGGATAAGTCTGTTTAATTAGACATTTCTATTTTAAAATAAGAGGGGTACAGCTAAGATCCGATTCAGAATCGCGTGAAGCGCCTCCAGAGGCGCTTCAACGATTCAGCACGATTCGACATCAAATCCGATTCTCAGCGTCCAAAATCGTTTTCTGAATCGCAGGCTGAATCACCTCAAAATCGTCCACTCTGACTACCACTTCGCGCGGGTACAACCAATTGTCGATTCTCACTGGGCATTAACCCTTTGAAACGATGAGCACAACTGCAACCGTTACAATGACCGCTCTTCCCTCTAAATCTACAATCAAGCTCGTTCCTGGTCAATCTCATGCCGAAGCATCATCATCTCAGGCCCAGAATCAGCCCTCAAAGTCTCAAAAGCAGATGACCAAAGCGGAGAGACGCGAGCAACAAGAGCGTCAGAGAGCTGCAAAAGCTGCTACTAAAGCAGCTGGTCCCCAACCTAGCGGATCTAATCAGAATTCTGCTCAGGCGAAGAAAGGTGGAAAGGGTCCTGATGGAAAACCGACAAAGGAGACAAAAGAAACCACATCTGATGACTCTGCTCGTGGTTTGCGGATATTCTCCCATTTTGGACTCCCCAAACCCCCTGGCCCTAGCAAAGGAGATATACATCCCGCTATCATCCGCCTCGGATTGCAATTTTCGGAGTTCAAGATTGCAGGGGCAAACGCGCGTTGTATTGCGACCCTGACTGCATTCAAAACTGTATGTCGCGATCGTCCTGGTCTACCAAATATTGCTGACATTTATCAAGGTGATACAAGACTATGTCACTCCTCCTAACAATACACTCTCGAGGCATCTCTTGACACATCTTTCGCCTCAAATCACTCATCTTGTTTCTGCTCGTCCCATGTCGGTAACTATGGGCAATGCCATCCGGGAGCTCAAATTAGAGATCAGTGGATCGGATATCGACCTTCCGGAGCAGGACGTTCGTGTCAATTATTCCTCGCTGTCACACGTAGCACTCATTCAAATATTCTTCAGGCGAAAAATCTCCTTTGTCAAAAGATAGATGATTATATCAGTGAACGAATTACCATAGCGGATCAAGTCATCCAAGAGACTGCAGGGACCAAGATTAAAGACGGAGACGTCATTCTGACGTATGCTCGGTAACAAGCTCTACGCTTCTCCCGTTGTCGTTCGCTGATAGCTATTTGCCTAGATCTTCAGTTGTGGAGCAAGTTCTGGTCGGTGCGTGGGATGATAGGAAGCAATTCTCGGTTGTCGTCGTCGATTCCCGGCCAATGCTAGAGGGTAAGAGGCCCTATTATTACAGTCCCGTTTGTAATCTCATGCTGTCGCCTACGGAATAGGCAAGAAGCTTCTCTCCGTACTTTCTGCCATGGGTATCCCCTGCACTTATCTCCTTCTGCCATCCATTGGATCTGTCATCACAGAGGTGTCGACAGTCTTAGTGGGCGCTCATTCCCTACATTCGAACGGCGCTGTATTTTCCCGTGCAGGCACGGCCCTCGTAGCTATGATGGCAAAACAACACAGTGTCCCTGTCGTCGTTTGCTGCGAGACATACAAGTTTGCGGAAACAATCCAGCTAGATAGTTTTACCAAGAACGAGCTCGGTATGTTCCCCCGTAGTCGTTGTCTTTCATCTCGATCTAATATTATGATCCTGTAGCACCGGCTGGCGATATATTTTCGTCCTTCCCCCTCACTCGGTCAAAAGATACGCTCACCCTCAACAAACAGCCCAATCTAGAGATCCTCAATCCGCTCTACGACCTGACACCTCCTTCCAGTATCACAGCAGTCGTGACAGAAGTTGGAGTTATTCCGCCAAACTCCATCAGCTCGATTCCACTCGCGCTCGGTCGCACTACACTGTAACATACCGCACCCGTCGACGACGCGCAATGTTCAAACTTTAACCTAGCTGCTCTGAGTCATCAGGAGGCACCATTTCATCACAGATCATTGAATTCATAGAGTGGTGTCGCATACGCTGTGACTAGGTCGACTGGGGTGAGTGTGGGAGTGATTCGAATACGAGCTAAGACTTGAAGACGGTCGAGGTGGTGGGTGTTGCTTATTCCATTCTCGTTCACGCTCGAGGTAGCGGTCTCTGTCAAGCTCAGCCATCCTATCACGATCTGGAGATCATTAAAGCGATGTGAAGTATAAGGAAATGATCGCTTACGATCCACCTGTGAGCTCACGAAACCTGACCATGAGCTCCGATTATCATCAAAACTCCGAAGCGACGCAACGCTACCCCTTCTATGCAGACTGCTATCGCTGCTGCTCCGTTAGAAAGGGAGAGGGCGACGTCCAAGGCATCTCTTGAGAGTGGCGTCGGTGGAACTCCAATGAGTGTTGGTGATGCAGCTCAGGGGTAACAGAACGTGATGGTGCTTTAGGACGGGTCCACTATGGTCAGAACTTTGATGCGGGTTGCTCAAACTGGACCTAGCGTGCAGGCGACAGCGCAACGCATAAACATACCAGCAAACCCACGTCTCCCGTGTGCAGGCAATGAATGCCAGTAGGTGTCCAGCTCGCATGACCGCCTCTCAACAGATTTCATTCATGCACAAACTAGCTTGCTCTTGAACATGTGGATTTCAATGATAGAGGGACGTGCAATCGACGAACAATGGATTGACCGCTTAGCGCACCCAATTCAGCCTCCTTCACCAACCATAGATCCAGTGGAGGTCGGTACGGACGAGGACGTCGACCCGAATGACTATATACCCCCGTTGATGAGAAATACCGGCGGAACGACTGCCCAAGAGGATAACTAGTCCAACGACGATTAGTAGAAGTCATATTAGGCATTCCTGCTAAGTTTGTCGTTCTTGCTTGCGTGGATAGCTGATTTTTGCTATCACGAGCTATCGAGCATCCTATAATATGAAATAGACAACGGACCGCGACGTCGCGTCACCCACTGCCTAAGTGGAACTTCGTGGCGTTGTGAACCGATTAGTTGCATGCCATATTGACTCCTGGGCACCGCTGGCAGACAGTCTCTCCTTGTAGTTTCTATATATAGTAATTATAATCTCATGCCAGGCCAAAGCCGTCACCAGGCGCCCGGCTCATGGCCTGAAGCCGGGCCGTGCACACACAACTACAACTTGAAGGAGAGAGTATGGGCAGAATTCTGGGTGACCAGAACTTCCCATTGATAGTCGATCGGTCCGTGGTTCTCCGACTGTTTAGCTCTAGTGATTCAAATAAACATTAAATTACCTCTCACAGCTGTCCAGGACGTCTTCTCCGAATGTCCCGAAGAGCCGCCTCGGACATGGAATGATTGGACTCGTGATCACAATAGTAGTACTGGTAATACTCGCGTGAGTGGTCCTCAGTCCTATCTGTGATTCTGACACTCTGTATTGATACACTGTTTTTATTATCATGTTAAATAGCAAGGCAATCGGAGTCTGCACCCAAATCCACTTATCTCCCGTTCCAATATTAAATTGTAATGGCTCAAGCCAGCAAGTGAGTGGCATGTCTCGTTCGAAGGTCTTTCGTGGTTAACTTTTGGTCAAAGACCGCAGGAATTCGAGACGCTGCAGTTGCACGCTGGTCAGGTTCCTGATCCTACCACCAATGCTCGTGCAGTTCCTATTTACGCCTCCACGAGCTTCGTCTTTAACGACTATAACGTTCGTCACTTTGTACAAAGATTCGATTTAGGGGCTTATCATAACTTCAGCATGGCGCAGACCTTTTTGACCCGAAGTCAGTTTCATTGAGGATGACAAGCGAATTGAAATTAATGGAGCATCCTGCAGGGCTTTTGGACACAATTATTCTCGTATTGGGAACCCCACTGTCGTACGTTATTCTTTCATCGATACTGCCTAAGTACTTCCTATCCATGTAGGATGTGTTCGAGAGTCGAATTGCTGCCCTTGAAGGTGGCGTTGCGGCTATCGCAACGTGCTCCGGTCAATCTGCACAATTCCTTGCGATTTCCACCATAGCCAGTGCAGGTGACAACATCGTTTCAACGTAAGACCTAGTCGTTCAAGTCCAGAACCCCGATTGACATCTTGGCAACAGATCATATATCCAAGGAGGGGTAAGTGTATCATTTTTGAGAATTCAGGGATCATTTTAACTGACGAGGTCACCTGAAGACATACAACCAGTTCAAAGGTTCGTTTGTCAGCGTCTTACCAGTATCATGACCCATGCGATGTGCAGCATCCTTCAGAAAGCTTGGTATCGATGTAAAGTTCGTGAATGGCGATGATCCAGCACTTTTCGCGCCAGCAATCGATGAGAACACGAAGGCAATTTTCGTCGAGAGCATTGGTAACCCGAAGTACAACGTTGCGCCAATTTCCGAGCTGGCAAAAGTGTGCATATTAATCACTGCCAATGGACCGCTGCTCATGTAAACTCGATAGGTTGCACATGATCATGGCATCCCCTTAATCGTGGACAACACGTTTGGAATGGGAGGATACCTCATCAAACCCATCGATTTGGGCGCAGACATTGTTTGTGAGCACATCCCTCACTTAGGTGATCCGCAGCTCATATGTATGGTCATCAGTGCACAGTGCAACCAAGTGGATTGGAGGTCATGGAACGACGATCGCAGGTGTTGTCATCGACTCGGGTGCGTTTACTTCACGATCGCTTTCCATTTGCATATCTCATTTTTCTCTATCAGGAAAATTCGATTGGGCACGCTCCGGCAAGTTCCCGTCGTTCACTTCCCCCTCCGAGGCATATCATGGCATGGTCTTTAGCGAAACATTTGGTGCTACCGCTTTCGCTATCAAGCTTCGCGTCGAGCTCCTCCGTCCAGCCTTGAACCCATTCGCTGCGTTCTTGCTCATTCAGGGTATTGAGACGCTTAGCTTGAGGGCTCAGAGGCACTCCGAAAACGCTTTGGCGCTTGCTCAGTAAGTTGTCATGTACTGATCCACAGGCAAAATTTTACTGTTCTTAGGTGGCTGTCAAAACACGAAAAGGTCGCATGGGTCTCCTATCTCGGCCTAGAGAGTCACCCCTATCACCAGAGAGCGAAGAAGCTTCTCCGCCCAAATGCATTCGGTGGTGTCCTCAACTTCGGCGTCAAGGGCAATATTAGTGTGGCAAGCACGGTTGTTGACAGCCTGAAACTAGCTAGTAATCTTGCAAATGTCGGTGATGCCAAGACCCTTGTCATCCACCCTGCGTCGACGACGAACCACCAGCTCAGTGATGAGGAGCGGCTGTCTTCGGGGGTCACGAATGATCTGATCCGGGTGCGTGATTTTTTTGATGGAGAAGTTTTGACTGATTGTTTGTCCAGGTGTCTGTGGGCATCGAACACATCAATGATATCATTGCGGACTTTGAGCAGGCTTTGAGGCACGTATCTTGATTTTCAAGAAGGAAATGGATGTGTAATGGTACTATTCCCTACATAACGCGCAAGGCCGCTCGCAGCAGAGCCCGCTACGGTCGCATTATGCAATCACCCTCGAACTTCATTTCTCTGCGGTTTATACTTACTAGGGTTTGGCATTGTCGTCGGCGTTTTGCCATCAGAGAACTGGTGGACAAGTTACATAGAATGATATGGATAGCAATATATAGTACACAATCACAAGCATCAGCAAAATTCTGCCATGGATCATCACATAGTCATGTTTGATCTTATATAGGAATGAAGTTGCAGCGTGCAAGTAGGCGCGACAGAACTATGGTGGTATTACAAGGAAGGGGAAGTCTCTGTCAAAATGATCGTTTGTTGCTCGGCTGTGGGTTTCCTGATGCTCAAGGATCACTGACTGTTAGATTCAAGGCGAATCCTATGTGCACAATCTCAACCACCTCACGGCTCCGTGGTTGAGGCAGAGGCAGTTTTCGAGGCACGAGGTTGCATTAATACTTTGGTCTGTCACCAGATCACACTCTCGATCGAGGACACAGCATCGTTATGATGCCGAATTAGTACATACGTGTTTTTAATGGGGTGGAGGGGAAAGGGGTGTTAGTCAGATTAAATAAAGGATAGTCCATGCAAACATAACGGTAAATGGCACGTAAATGGCGTATAATTCGTATCAAAACCAGCCCACATAGGAGGCAGGATAGCATGCAAAGCAAACCCTTCCATCAAGGACTTTCAGGTTCAAGCTTTTCCTTGAAGGATGCGCGCGACAACGGAGTGAGGTTATCCACCCCCACCATCACGCCATACCCCCTTTTACCGCCCAACAGCGCTGTATTGTCAGAGGTATTAACAACGCCAAAGTCTTCTTCCGCGACTATGGCACCCGTTCGTTTATCAAGACGGAAGGTGAGACCGGTGAGGTTGCTCTTCATGCGCGATACATCATCATAGGGCAGAAGGAGATCGCCGAAGCCAGAACGTGATGTGAGGGATACGATGGCTGCGATCGAGCCAGGTGGACTGGTCAACCAAAGATTTCTGCGAGAGCGCTTGTGCAGGATGTGAACGATAAGGGATGAAATTCCGATGCAAATGAATAACACGGAAAGTAGGTGTGCTGGTAGAGTTCTGAGAAGGTGGAGGAGATTGTCAGAGGTGAGATGATGATTATGGTGGGGGTAATGCGTACTCGACGAATAACCTTGGGATATCTGATGTCAGCTGGGCAGAGATAGTCGTATTGTCTGGCAGGAAATAGATGGTTTGCGCGGCAATGGAAAGATATTGTGTCTGAATGCGACAAAAAAAATCATTCGGTCACTTGAGTTTTTCGAATGGTGTAGTTCCCTCACATAGACCTTCTTTGTGGCATTGACGAATCCATAAGGATCATCGAATACGGATTGTGGACCGTCCGGTTGTTGCGAAGCGAAGGAATATATAGCTCCTGGAATACCTGAGTTGATGGCGAGAATCCTGGCGGTAATGTACGAGTTGTTGCTCGCATCAAACATGACCCTGAATACACTCGCTAAGGCAGTTGGTGACAAAAAGAGCATTAGACTCACCCATTGAATGCTTGGCCGTTCAAAGGGTTGCCTGTAACGTTATTGGTATACTCGAAAGGCTCTACAATTGTACAGTCTCCCATAGATCCATCATTGAGATCCATCGAGGTTGTGACTATAAAAATGGCAATACTCGGTTGGCAGAAAACGGCAGTCCCTAGTGCGTCTCCGTTATCAGACAAATGATAATACCAGAAAATGACGGGCTGAAAGTTTTGATCCTGATACGAGGGTGCACACGTCGACGCTGCTGTCACAGAGAATTGGTCGGGACCATCGTTAGGGTTAAGACTGAGACTGGCGTTACAGGTAGTCGAAAAGGTAGCCGATAATACAAAATCTGAGCTGGTGAGATTGGTAGTCGTGAAAGAAGTTGGGTTTATGCAGTTGACGTGCGTTTGAACAGCAGTGGTGTTTACGGCTAGGGTTCCATTCAGAATAGAGCCTGCAGGGGCCTGCAGAGCACACATATTTGAATGATTTTATGTAATCCTAAAGAAGTGGACAGCATACTGTGAATGGAGCAGCAGACCATCCGCCATTAACGAATGGTGGATCTTGAAGGTTACTGTATACTAGGGAGTTTGACCTAGTTCAGTCTAGCGCATGCTGTTAGAGCAGGCGTCCCTACCTGCAGCATTTGCATACTGTTTAATATGTCAGTGAAGTATCGCGATTGATCTCGAAAATCTTACCCCTGCAGAAGCGAGAAATGAAGTAAGTTGACTGATAGAAGGCGAAAGCCCGATGCTGCGGATACTTGTTGCGGTGGCAGCTTTATATCAACATGTTTAGTCTAAGCAGACAGCAACAAGGAACTAGCTGAATAATATTACCTGATGTGTAGGGTACCTGTGGTACTTGAAATAGGGATCCGGCTAGCGGCTGCATGAATATGACAGAAAGGCAGTGAGTGTCGATACATTGATTAACCAATGTCGGTGCTTGAGGGAATAGTATAAGGTGGTTAGGCGACTGGGTAATAAGTCAACATAGATCATCAGCATGGTTGTAAGTGACTGATTCATACTTGAGTGCGATCTATTGTAGGATAGTCACCGTCATTACACCTTCGTTTATAACTTACGAAGTGCTTACATAGTCTAGTAGAATACTGCGTGCTGCAGGTGCTTTGCCCTCGGATAGCGTGACATATGGCTAAGGCCCTTGCAATGAGCATGGAAGGCAAATAATATAGACGATCGTGCTAACCTGGTACCATCTGAGCATCCAGTCTGCTACAGCCCAGAAATACGCAAGTGGGACTACCAGCAAGGTCGGAACAAACGACTGTTACGAGCTGATGAATAAAGATGTGTTGGTGATCATATAGTGGGTGTTACCGTTAGGAATGAAGTTGATACGAAGGTGATCACATTCTTCTCAGGTACTGAGAAGCCTAGAGAAGTGTCATCGGGCACACTGTGAGGAAGCGGTAGGCGTGCGTACCATTGCATATATCTGATATATGCAGAGCTATCTCAAGTGCAATGCCCAGACATATCATAAGCAGAGCAATGCTTCCAACGATGTAAATGTTCAAAACGATAGGCTCCTAGATTCCACTCATACTTGTCAAAGGGGTATTCTATAACAAAGGAGCGAGGTACTGACATAACGCCTGGGCCGGTGCACTTCTGTACCAGGTGTCGGGATGTTGTGGACAGAGTCTCGGAAACGTTGCGAACGTGGAGAAATAGTGTCTGACGTTGGCGTTGCGGATGCCACTCATGTCTGGGGGGAAAGCAAGATCACGAAGCGTCACCGTTTGTCAGTCAATATGTATTATGCATAGGGTAGTCCGGCATAGCCTTGACTCCGAGTCAGGGTCACTAACCTAACTAAACCACAGCTTCCTCAAGCGTGCAATTGGAAATTTGATGGCGGGCGAGTTCGGCAGTGTCTGGCGACGCTTGAATCGCTCTTTTAAGGAGCTTCACTCAGTCAGTGAAGTCGTGGCTGTGAGTAGAAGAAATTGACATATTGTGCCTTACACCAGTGACTACTCCGTTGGGCCCGGGGTCGCTGCCGAATTTGAGAACCAATCATGTTCCCTGTAACATCTTTCATTGAACTGTAATTTTCTCTGGCACAGGTAATGGATGACAAGTTCGCTGGCCTCAATGCAGGCTCGTGGCATCAAGCAACTTGTCTGCTTCACAGAGTCACACAAGTCGGTGATTGATAGGAAAAAGCATCCTGGATTCCTTACGTATGGGGAAGGAAGAGTGGCCTCGTGGGGTGTTTTCGGCGGCACGTTTCTGGATAATGGAGTGTCAGTGGCTCAGATGAGTATCGGAAAGCTGTGCGTCGTAATCTTGAAATTCGCGCTGACTCAAGATTCAAGCAGCCTGGGGCCCAAACGGCTTAGCTTGCCTCGAAAGGTATACATAATTATGCTCGCTCTTAAGTACAATATCTGCAGGCTATCGCATCATGGCATGTACACGCTGCACGCTACAGGCCCTATGTCGTACACGATAGCACTGAAATAATACGTCATTAAATTCGCCTATCGATAATTCAACGATGGGCTATTGCAATCTGTCCAACGTACCATTCAATGCAAAGTGCTCCTCACTTGGCTCAACAAGATTACAGAAATACGCCCCGGAGCGTATCAAACAAGTCTTGATTGAATGGTGACAAGGCAAAATTCGTGGTTGAACGTGGTGTTGAAGCGCCCGCCACTGAAATTTGTCGCCGCTTGAAAAATAAGCGGGCAACCCTTGACCCGACTTTCCAAAGCCTCGTTTTTGACTGCACCACAATTTGTGTCCATCCTTTCAACGACTCTTTTGCCCTAATCCCTAACGTACGTGTCTATATACTTTCCGTATCTTTCAGGTCATTGGGTTCGCGTATGTTCGTGCTTGGGCGCGTCTGTCGCGACCTTCGCGTTTTCTGAGTCAACCAATCTCGTGTTTATTTATCGCTAACTTGTCACGTTTCAGCATGCGTGAAATCGTCCACATCCAGACCGGCCAGGTGTGTTTCAGTGTTTCTAATTTCATCTCAATCCATCCGTGTTAACATTTCTTTGATACTAGTGCGGTAACCAAATTGGTACGACCACAAGACTCGCGCGATTGTCCAATGTTCTCATCTCATCGTGATTTGATACACAGGTGCTAAGTTCTGGGAGGTGGTTTCTGATGAGCATGGCATTGAGCGGGATGGTCTCTACAAGGGAACCAATGATATGCAACTCGAGCGTATCTCGGTTTACTACAATGAAATCGGGTCAAACAAATACGTTCCTCGTGCAGTTTTGGTTGATCTTGAGCCAGGAACCATGGACTCTGTCCGCTCGGGGCCTCTAGGTGGTCTCTTCCGTCCTGACAACTTCATCTTTGGACAGAGTGGTGCTGGTAACAACTGGGCCAAAGGACGTAAGTGTTCTGTCGTGTCGCTCCAACCGATCGTGGTTTCAACCTCTTTGTCTCAATAACACACAGACTACACGGAGGGTGCGGAGTTGGTCGACTCCGTTCTTGACGTTGTTCGCAAGGAGGCTGAGGGCACTGATTGCCTACAGGGCAAGTAATTTTTGTTTGTTTTAGCACCGCTTTCCATTAACATAAGTGCAGGTTTCCAGATCACCCACTCACTCGGTGGTGGAACTGGTGCTGGTATGGGAACACTCTTGATGTCCAAGATCAGAGAAGAGTACCCCGATCGGATGATGTGCACATACTCTGTCGTGCCTAGTCCCGCCGTCTCGGACACGGTTGTTGAGGTCAGTCTCTTTCTCCAGGTTCCACGCGTTTTTGAAGTTCACGACCATATAGCCTTATAATGCAACACTCTCTGTTCACCAACTTGTAGAGAATTCAGACGAGACTTTCTGTATCGATAACGAGGCCCTTTACGACATTTGCTTCAGAACGCTCAAGCTCTCCACGCCCACTTATGGCGACCTGAACCACCTCGTTTCCTTTGTCATGTCCGGTATCACTACTTGCTTACGTTTCCCTGGTCAACTCAACTCTGACCTGCGTAAACTTGCTGTCAACATGGGTTCGTCGCTATCCTCAATATTCCTCGCTTTTGCTTAATATATTCATCCGCAGTTCCTTTCCCCCGTCTCCACTTCTTCATGACCGGATTCGCTCCATTAACCGCCCGCGGTAGTCAGCAGTACCGCGCTGTCACTGTCCCCGAGCTTACTCAACAAATGTTCGATGCAAAGAACATGATGGCTGCGTCAGACCCAAGACATGGTCGCTACCTCACCGTATGCATGGGTGTATGTCTTTGGGACTTGCGCTGATACTCTCTTACGTTCAGGTTGCCGCTGTGTTCCGTGGTAAAGTATCGATGAAGGAGGTCGAGGAACAGATGCAGAACGTTCAGAACAAGAACTCTGCGTATTTCGTGGAGTGGATTCCTAACAATGTGCTTTCTGCACAATGTGACATCCCTCCCCGCGGAGTTAAGATGGCGGTTACTTTCTTGGGTAACTCGACAGCTATTCAAGAACTGTTCAAGCGTGTCAGCGACCACTTCACTGCTATGTTCAAGCGCAAGGCCTTCTTGCATTGGTACACGCAAGAAGGTATGGATGAAATGGAGGTATGTACATGCAGTCTATCTTGCGATTGGCTGATCTGATCGAATGCTATCTTTCAGTTCACCGAGGCCGAGTCAAACATGCAGGACTTGATCGCTGAATACCAACAATACCAAGACGCAACAGTCGAGGAAGAGGCCGAGTACGAGGAGGAGGTTCCCGTCGATGATGAGCCGTAGATCAAAATCATGGTGACCCACTGTTACGATTCCTACGTCACCTATGTTCCCCTTCACGACCAAAACTTAGGTATTCCTCTATTGGTGTTCTCTTGGGCAGATGCCTCGTTCCTTTTGTTAATTTCACTTTATCGCTACCCTAGCCAGCATCGCGTTCATCTCATTTTTCTTTTCTGTCGTCCACCGCCGGAGCAATACATTTCATCGGAAACTGAAGTATACCCTTATCAGTTGGTGATCAGTGTAACTTGCCAGAGTGCCATGAGAGTCTTGGCTCTTGGCTCTCGTTCAACGTAGGTCAACTGTTCCCACTGTTAGGTCTGCAATCCACAAAGGGCCGTCGAAACCTCTTTTTTTTCAAATTGAGCTACAAGTTGGAATTGCAACCTGACTGGAACCGACTACTCTGCCCAACACACTTTTATTCGACTCCCCGCTTGATCGGGCTTGCAGGCTCGGCCGCATGCTTGAGTCCACTGGTCATCGTATACTCGGATTATGTTGATTTATGCCGCAACTGACGCCGGTCATGACAACACTAGTAGCAAACGAAATTGAGAACTGCACAGACAATTCTGTGCTTCTTAGTCTTGCCAACCCCTACTAGGTTCACCTTATTCTTTCGTCCCTTACTACATACTACGATGCAGACAATTTCTTTTATATACTTCAAGGACAGCTACTTCCACAGAGGCAAGGTCCCGACTGACCCTGCAACAGGCTCGAAGATTCACTGAGAGTATGATTTCCTTTTTTGCAACCAACACCTGTTCTCGACATGCTGTATGGGTTGCCATACGCCGTTTTGCAGGTTTCAACCTCGCCGACGAACTCGATCGTCCTAAAATCCATCCACTTCAAAACGTATTGACTTTGATGGAGAACTGGCATGACCTTCACACATGGTTGGAAGCAACAGTGCGTTGCGTGATTTGAATATGGCAACGAATGGATGACCGGTAGACGCTACTATTTACTGGCAGGCTACGAGACTTGTAACATGGACTAAGGATTCATCGTAATCGATATCACGCTCAAAACTTCTGATGTGCTCCTGGTTTATTCCTACTAAGTCTGCGATCTTGCGCTTGGAGCAAATCATTTTTCCGGAGCAGGAAGGTTCTTCAATGAGGTGTCTTCAGAAATTATTCAGTCAAGATCGGACGACAAGTTATCTGCAGAAGCGTTGCATCATGCTTCGAGTCAGAACACTCCAGACGCTTGGTTATCTAATACATTAGTGTGTTAAAAGCAGTCCGCGCTTGCATCCCTTGTTCTTCTGTCCGTCCCTATGTTTCGTTTCCTTCGATAATCGATGGAGGGTAGTAGAGGCCGACAAGAGCACATGAATACAGCGCTCTTTGATTGGTGCATCAGATTGCCAGAACCTTGATAGGTCGTACGGGGAGTTAACAGTTCTAAAGTAGACAAAGTGACTTCTCGCCGATCAGTGGAAACGTGCACAATACGCACGTTGATCAGGAAGTCACTCGAGACTGTATTTTACGCACGAGCGTCGTAGACATCAAGGATGAATATGCCATGTCTTTTTCAAATACGCGTCATGCATGGGGATAAATCGTACATTGCCCCCGGAGAGGACTGTAATGCCATTGCTGAGAATCGTATACATGCTAGTCGCCAGTTGTAGGAAAACGCACGGGACTAGAATTGGGTTCGATAACCCGTTATGGATAACGCAGGATATTGTAATGGTGCAGAAATGACGAGACGCAGGGAGACGCAAGAATCACAAGTCATCGCCACGCATGACACTTGTGTCCAGCAGCGCTCACTGCATTCATCACCAATATCCTTGATAGCGGCTCATTGATTATCTGAAGTGCAAGTGGGGCTTTTTATCTTGGCACGAAGATAATTGGATGAATTGCTCGTGGTCCTGGTGTGTTGGTCAATGGAAAACATCATTGGCACCAGAAACAAGTGTTATCTCGCCTTTACTGCGGCCGTGCTTCTTGCACAGGCAGATTCCAGCAGAGTTAGACCAACATAACAGCGCTAAGAGGATGACCATTCCGAGGGGTCCGAATGCCACTGAACATTATGCCCATGAGTAGGGTGCGCCACGATGATGTTGGTACTATTTAGCCGCAGGTCGTACGAAGCATCCACGTTCACAAGGAGCTTCACGGCGGGGATGAGCTGCGCGGCAGTTACCGACTGGCAACAAATGAATCCGCTGTAGAAGAAAGGAAGCTAATTCGCCGTGAATAGGTGGAATATGAATATATGACTTGTGGGATTCATGCACATGGCTGTCCAGCGTGCAGCTGGTGTGTCAGTGCGCGAGTAGTCGCCACATCGGTAATCCAATGACACGGATAGCTGCAAACCAATGATCAAACATCCGCACTTTGAAAAAAAGAACATCTACACTCACGATCGTTTATGGCAAGGTGAGTTCACACTCAACCTACACGCTACTCCGTATGTGCCACTGACTCATCTCTAGCACGGTTGGGACACGACTCACGAGAGCTCAGCTTGAAAGGTTGCTGACAGCTGTGCTGGCGCTGCTCTGGATTTGGGTCGCCTACCATATATGGGTTCCGGATTCAAACATTGGATGATCGAGGCAATCTTTTTCATCTTTTTCTTCTCTTCTTCTCTCTTCACCGAAACACCCTTTTAAAAGTCTTTGGGTGAAGGGAAAAGAAGAGTTCGCTTAGATCTCTCGTCACCCAAATTTATCACCCATTTACTGTCTACAGTCCAGTTTGCATTTTTACAAGATGCCTGCAGACGACCTTCGACCCGTTTTTGCTCGCTCTCAGAGCAATTCTAGCTTTCCGGCTCCTCCGGTCACGTTCTCCCCATTGAATGACGATGATGATGTTATGTCTTCGAACGAGGCCGTCTTGGAACTCAACGATGGCTCTGCGTTTAGAGGTATCAGCTTCGGGGCGGAAGAAAAAAGTGTTGCAGGCGAATGCGTCTTTCAGACTGGTGGAGTTTACTTCCATCATCTAATGTTATGTTGTTAATCTATTGTGTTTCAGGTATGGTCGGGTACACAGAATCCTTAACCGATCCTTCATACGAAGGCCAGATCCTTGTCCTCACCTATCCGCTAATCGGAAATTATGGCGTTCCCGAACGCCCCAAAAACGACGTTGATCTCCCTTCGGAGTTCGAGTCATCCCGCATCCATATTGCTGCCCTCGTAGTTGGCTCATATACTGAGGACTACAGCCACTACTTGGCAAATTCTTCACTTGGAGCTTGGTTGAAAGAAAACAATATCCCTGCCATTTGTGGTGTAGACACACGCGCCCTCACCAAGAAGATACGGGAGAAAGGTTCCATGTTAGCCAGAGTGTTGGCGCGAAAGTCAGATGCCCCTCCCCGCCGCTTGCAGCCTCTTATTCCGGAGTCACGTTCGGTCTCACGTTCATCCTCGCCGCCACCTTCGGAGGACTACATTGATATCCCGTGGCATGATCCCAACTCTGATAATCTTGTCGCTGCAGTATCATTATCGGCTCCTCGACTTTTCAAACCTACAGGCCAACCTCGTCTTCACCCAAACGGACGTGTCCTTCGCGTTGTCGCTGTGGATGTGGGCATGAAGTACAATCAGGTTCGATGCTTCACTAAGCGTGGAGTGGAACTCAAGGTTGTTCCTTGGGATTACGACTTCATAAACGAAGCCGAGCCATATGACGGACTGTTCATATCAAACGGTCCAGGTGATCCTGTGACAATCATGTCCACTGTCAAGCGAATTGCTCAAGCAATGGAGAAAGGCAACCGCCCTATCTTCGGTATCTGCCTTGGGCACCAATTGCTCGCTCTCGCTGCGGGAGCTACTACCTCAAAAATGAAATACGGCAACCGCGGACATAATATCCCATGCACTCACGCACTGTCCGGAAGGTGCTACATAACGTCTCAAAACCATGGTTTCCAGGTCGACACAGATACCCTCCCTCAGGGATGGAAAGAGCTTTTCCGCAACGCCAATGACGGTAGTAACGAAGGCATCTATTGCGAAGACAAACCATTTTTCTCCGTACAATTCCATCCAGAATCTACTCCTGGCCCTCGTGATACGGAATTCCTTTTCGACGACTTCATCCGGATTATCGTGGATTGTGTCAACACGAACACCTTGGTGCCCATATCGTTCCCGGGCAGACGCAAGGAAGACAATGATCAAATGTTCCCTCGCGCCAATGTCCAAAAGGTTCTCATTCTTGGCTCCGGTGGATTGTCCATCGGGCAGGCAGGCGAGTTTGATTACTCAGGCTCGCAGGCTATCAAGGCGCTCAAGGAGGAAGGCATTTACACTATTCTCGTCAACCCTAACATTGCCACCATCGCTACTTCCAAGGGTCTCGCGGACAAGGTATATTTCCTTCCGGTGACACCCGATTTCGTGCGCAAAATCATCAAGTATGAGAAACCAGATGGTATCTACGTGACGTTTGGTGGACAGACCGCCCTTAATGTCGGCATTAAACTCAAAGATGAGTTTGCGGCTCTTGGAGTACAGGTTCTTGGTACCCCCCATCGAGACTATCATCACGACAGAGGATAGGCAATTATTTGCCCAAGCGATGGAGGACATCGGGGAACGTTGTGCTCAGTCTGCCACAGCTACCACTCCAGATGAAGCAGCTGTCGCAGCGCGTGAGATCGGCTTCCCGGTCATTGTTCGTGCTGCATACGCTCTGGGTGGTTTGGGATCTGGCTTCGCCCAGGATGAAGCCCAGCTTCGCGCTCTATGTAGCAAGGCATTTGCGACTAGCCCTCAGGTACTCGTGGAAAAGAGCATGAAAGGTTGGAAAGAGATCGAATACGAGGTTGTCCGCGATTGTCGCGATAATTGCATAACTGTTTGTAATATGGAGGTAAACGTCACTTTTCGCTGAACCGCCCATGCATGATCTCATGGTGCCATACTAGAATTTTGATCCCCTCGGTATACACACTGGAGACTCCATTGTGATCGCTCCCTCCCAAACGCTGTCTGACTCCGACTACAACATGCTCCGAACAACTGCGATTAACGTCATTCGCCATCTTGGTGTTGTTGGCGAGTGTAATATCCAGTACGCTCTGAATCCGACATCGAAGGAGTACTGCATCATTGAGGTTGGTTTAACATCTTGACCAACATGACATGCATTGTACTAACATTTAAATAGGTCAATGCACGTCTGTCGCGATCGTCAGCGCTAGCCTCAAAAGCTACTGGCTATCCCCTTGCGTTTATTGCCGCTAAGCTCGGTCTGGGTGTCCCGTTGAACGAAATCAAGAACTCCGTGACGAAAGTAACTAGCGCTTGTTTTGAGCCGAGCTTGGACTACGTTGTCGTCAAGATACCACGTTGGGACCTCAAGAAATTCAACCGGGTCAGCCGGCTTCTTAGCAGCAGCATGAAGAGCGTCGGTGAAGTCATGAGCATTGGTAGAACTTTCGAAGAGACCTTCCAGAAGGCGATACGGGCGATCGACGATCAGTTCCTTGGATTTGCGAAGGTATGTAAGAGCAGCCTTTGTCATTTCATTGAGATTAAACATCCTGTTTCATAAGAATGACTTTGTGGATGACATTGACGAGGAACTGGTCAATCCCACTGACAAGCGCATATTCGCCATCTCAAATGCATTCCATCGGGGCTATAGCGTCGACAAGATCTGGCAGATGACTAACATCGACAAATGGTTCCTAACGAAACTTCAACACATTCATCGCATGGAGAAGCGCTTGTCGTACGTAGACTCCCCTGGATCTTCGATATTTTTCTAACGAATACACTACAACTACAGAGAGCAATCCATTACTTCTGTCAGTAACAGAATCATCCTCCAAGCGAAGCAGCTTGGCTTCTCCGATCGCCTGTTAGCCAGTTGTTTGGGTTCAACGGAGTTAGCTGTCCGAAGGCTTCGTCAAGAAATTGGTATCGCCCCATTCGTCAAGCAAATAGACACCGTCGCAGCCGAGTTCCCTGCAGTGACGAATTACCTCTACACTACGTATAACGCTATCGAACACGACGTCGAGTTTAATGATCGTGGTGTCGTGGTCATTGGCTCGGGTGTTTACCGCATTGGCTCCTCAGTCGAATTCGACTGGTGCGCGGTCAGGGCTATCAGAACGCTTCGTGAACAAGGCCTCCCGACGATCATGGTCAACTACAACCCGGAAACAGTTAGCACTGATTACGACGAAGCTGATCGCCTTTACTTCGAGAATATCAGCTTGGAGACCATTCTTGATATCTATGATACAGAGCGTTCGCGCGGCGTCATCTTGTCGATGGGTGGCCAGACCCCAAACAATATTGCCCTTCCCCTCTATCGTCAGAACGTAAAAATCTACGGGACTTCTCCCGAGATGATCGACACCGCCGAGAATCGCTTCAAATTCTCTAGGTTACTCGACGAGATTGGCGTTGACCAGCCTCGGTGGAAGGAACTGACTAGTTTCCAGGAGGCTCTCGCCTTTTGTGATTCAGTGGGGTACCCTGTCCTCGTCCGTCCTTCCTACGTCCTTTCAGGGGCGGCCATGAACGTCGTCTCAACTGGTGACGATTTGGCCAACTATCTGACACAAGCAACCTGCTGTCTCTCGCGAACACCCGGTCGTCATCACGAAGTACATCGAGCAAGCGAAGGAGATAGAGATGGATGCTGTAGGCGAAGGACGGTCAGATGGTCATGCATTTTATCTCGGAGCACGTTGAGAATGCTGGTGTGCACTCTGGTGACGCCACTCTCATCCACCCACCACAAGATCTTGATCCCGCTACCGTTCGTCAAATTGAGGAAGCCACTGCCAAGATCGGAAACGCTCTCAATGTGACTGGGACCCTTCAACATCCAGTTCATAGCTAAGAACAATGAGATCAAGGTGATCGAGTGCAATCTACGAGCGGCGCGGTCTTTCCCCTTCGTTTCCAAAGTCACCGGCATTGACGCTATTGAGATGGCCACCAAGGTCATGCTTGGATTGCCGGTGGAGAGCTACCCCGATCCTGGTCTTCCTCCAGACTATGTTGGAGTCAAGGTCCCTCAGTTTAGCTTCAGTCGGCTCTCTGGAGCAGACCCTGTACTTGGCGTGGAAATGGCCTCTACTGGAGAAGTCGCTTGCTTCGGGCGTGATAAGTATGAGGCATACCTCAAGGCTTTAATCTCCACTGGCATTGTGCCGCCAAAGAAGAATATCCTGCTTTCTATTGGGAGCTATCGGGAGAAATTGGAAATTCTGCCGTCAGTGCAGAAGCTCCACGCTGCCGGATACAACATTTTCGCAACATCCGGTACTGCCGACTTCTTGACAGAACATAACGTTCCTTGCAAAGTAAGTTCGATCAAGCTTCGAAGTGTTTCTAAAGTTCTATCGTGTCTCGCATAGTACCTGGAAAGCCTTCCGGAAGATAGCAACGACAAACAGAAGTCCGAATATTCGCTCACGCAGCACTTGGCCAACAATCTGATCGACATGTACATCAACCTCCCGTCAAAGAACAATTATCGCCGCCCCGCAAGCTACGCCAGTAAAGGGTACCGCACGCGGCGTATGGCAGTTGACTTTGCAATTCCGCTCATAACGAACGTCAAAAACGCAAAATTACTTGCAGAAGCACTTGTTCGCAAGCTTCCGTTGGATGTATCGAGTATCGATTCCAAATCCTCGTATCTAACGCATGCATTCCCCGGGCTTGTTAACATTTCCGCGTTCTTACCCCGCCTCACCGAGCCAGGAGCCGATGACTTCGAGCAAGCTACTAGGGCTTCTATCAGTGCAGGTTTTACTACCTCACTCGTTCTGCCAGTCGGAGTTGATAGTGCCATCACCGATGCTTCTTTACTTGAGCAGGTTCATGCCACAGCTGCAGGGAGCGCACGCTGCAACTACGCCCTCAGCATTGCTGGGAAAGATAGTAATGCCCGGGCTCTTGACGAGGAAGTCAGAGCGGACGTGAAGTCGTTGTACATCTCATTCCATGGGAACTTCGCCTCTCCTCAAATTTCCACCGTCGCTGCCAACTTCGCCTCGTGGCCCCAAAACAAGACAATCGTGACTGATGCTCGTGGCTCAAACCTTGCATCAGTGCTTCTACTGGCATCTCTTCACAACCGCAGCGTTCATATCACCGACGTCAGGAACAAAGATGATTTGCTTCTCATCTCGCTCAGCAAGGAAAAACATCTCAAGGTTACTTGTGATGTTTCAGTCTTCGCCTTATTCTTCACACGGGAACAATATTCTCAACCCACCTCGTTGCCATCAGCGCAGGATCAGGAGGCACTGTGGAAGAACCTTGATGTAATCGATGCGTTCTCAGTTGGGATGCTTCCTCATCAACTTGCGACGGAACTTCAAGAGTCGGCTTCTGCGTGGTCCGGAACGGAGGAAACACTACCCCTGTTGCTTACCGCCGTTACTAGTGGTCGACTCACTCTTGAGGATATTCGTGTGCGCCTTCACGATAACCCGATTCGTATCTTCGGTCTTCCTGAACAAACGACAACTCACGTGGAAGTTGTCCTAGGGCGGCGAGCTCAGCATCAGAACCACAGCACGTGTTGGTCTCCTTTGCAGAAGGGTTCCGTCACTGGGTCACTGCACAGAGTAGTTGTCCATGGAAAAACCTTATTCCTTGATGGTGAACTCTCTGTTTTACCGCTAGGGAAAGATGTATCCAGTGCGACAATCGTGCATGCTGCTGGAGAGCGGCAACCAGGCGTGCCTCTGGCGAAACCACAGCTTGTTTCTGGGCCTTCTGCCGCTAGGGTGCCTGATGGCTCTATCCCTCCCCATCAGACGGCTTTGCCACCGTCTGCCAGTGGTCCTGCCGGTTCAGGTATCAGTGTACCACCGGTTGTTGTTCACGGTCGTCATCCGGCATTCCATCGTCGTCATATACTTTCTGTGAAGCAATTCACCCAACGCGATATGTATGACCTCTTCTCCTTGGCCCATGAAATGCAACTTCAGGTCGAGCGCAATGGGACACTAGACGTTTTGAAGGGCAAAGTTCTTTGCACCCTTTTCTACGAACCGTCCACCCGTACAAGCACTTCTTTCGATGCGGCCATGAAACGCTGTGGAGGCGAAGTGATTCAAGTTAACGTAGACACTTCATCGGTGAAGAAGGGAGAGACGCTGGCCGATACCGTTCGCACAGTAGGGTCTTATGCCGATGCTATTGTGATTAGGCACCCCGATGTCGGCAGTGCCCAACTCGCCGCTAAATATTCCCCTGTGCCTGTTCTGAATGCTGGCGATGGCATAGGAGAGCATCCTAGTCAGGTAAGGGCTCGAAATCTGGAGGAGTCCGAATTTTAACACATCATAGGCTCTTCTCGACATTTATACCATTCGATCCGAGCTGGGAACTGTCAATGGCAAAACGGTCACCATCATAGGAGATCTGAAGAATGGGCGCACAGTTCATAGCCTGGTTACTCTACTCTGTCACTACTCAGTCCGTCTGAACTTCGTCGCGCCTCCAGCGCTTGCGATGCCCGCAAAGGTGGTCGCTGTTGCGCGGAAGGCGGGTATATTTGTGCAGCAGCTGGAATCGCTCGAGGAGGTCTTGCCTGATACCGACGTTCTCTACGTAACCAGAGTGCAACGAGAGAGGTTCAAGAATGAATTGGAGTGGCAAGCGGTCAAGGACTCTTATCGGATTGACCACGCCCTTCTTTCTCGCGCCAAAGAAGATATGATTGTAATGCACCCGTTGCCTAGAGTGAATGGTGAGATCCTCGATGCCTTTCGTAGTCGTCGGACTAAGCATCTATGTTTACAGAAATCGATCCCGAAGTCGATTTCGACTCCCGACGCGCCGCTTACTTCCGTCAAATGCGTTACGGACTTTTCGTCAGTCATCTTTCCCTTTGACACGCTCGCTCTGACCTTTCTTTTAGGTTCGGATGGCCCTTCTTGCCAGCGTGATGGGCTAAAAGTCAATCAAAATGTTGTATGATCAGCAATCTGCGATTAGGGATGAACTTTTGGGAAACCTGTATTGCTATCCATATGTCGCTGAGCAATTTCGTTGTAGACAATTATATTCTCATTTGATACCTCAATTGATACCTGTGCTTGTTTCGGCATTCACGCGCACTGCAAGGTGGTATAGTTAGTCTTCAGCAGGCGAGTAGAAGAAAGGCAGTCACTTCTTTACGTGGCCACGGGATCCAAGTCCTAGTTACGGCTTAATAGTATGGTAAATATATTTTCCAATGACAGCCAATACTAAGAGCTACTAAGTCATCATGATATTCTTTCTCTCGCTAAGGTCGTCGTTCTGTAGATAACTACAAGGCGGCCGACCACATTAAATTTGTTTGAGTTTCGCATCTCGTCTCCGCGCTCCAACGAGCTCAAGGATCAACCGACTGGGAGATGCCCGACTGTGTTGGCAGAAACCTTTAACTTCTGTTAAAAGAGAAGGGGCACGCAATTGTGAGTAGAAATGAGTAGTTGGATTAGCGTTCTGCAGGTAAACCGAACAGAATGGAGATAGCCTTCGGTCATCGGGCACCACTACCTACTGCCACAAACTTACTGCAACAACTCAGAGCATTGTGTTCAGTTCGAGTACCGGGAGTGAGAAGCGTTTCGTCCACTTACTTATCCCGACCACGACCACATAGCTGCGAAATAAATCATTGTTCACTGAAATCAGCGACCTCACCTCTAGTGGCATGGCAGGAACAGTACGTAGGTTCCTGATTTTGTGCGCTAAAACCGGGTACAACTCTTCTATTATCAGACAAAAAGGTCACCTGCTTCTCTTCAACGTACATGGCCTCGACCGTTTTGTGTCGAGAAAAACACAGCTATCTCCTTCAACGTCCAAAAAGGTTAAATGAGTCAAAGTTCTCGTAAGGATTGCTGCCATGACGTGGATTTTCGGTAACTTTCTAGCGGAGGCTACTCTTTGGGCTCCGAGTCTCCGACGAGATTCTGGGGGTCGATCGGTGAGCCTGTGAGTGCCCCCTGCATGCACTGAGGATTTTGGTCTGCATCATTTAGGCTGCACTGCTACCAGTCGAAGAACCATTATTAGAACAAGAGGATCAAATGAGGAGGACAAAGGCAAGTACCGAAGACCACGGCCCCGTGATAGGAGCTTTTGCTTACGAGGCTCAGGATAATGAAGTTGCCGCTGCCATGCCAATCGAAGCAACCTGGGTATATGGTACCAGATGGTACCGGAGCTAAAGGCTTTTCCTCTAGCGATACATGAGAATGACGACTCGTGTGGGGCCATCGGCTGCCAATAAATATTCGGTGAAGGATCACAGCGTGCGTAGAAACTTAGTTTCTAAGATAACCCGACTCAGCCTGGTGGGTGCAAAAGCACTCCTGCATCCGGTGTTCTTCGGTACCCAGAAATAACAAACGATAACAGAATGTCATTGGAGCAACGCTTAACGATAGCGTCTGAATGCTCCATGCACCATGGGAATTCGAAGCTGGAAATACTTATGTGCAAGATGTTCGTCGATCAGATAGTTCCAGTAGAATGTCCAAATACAATCAAACAATACTATTAATACTGGGACAAAGTCATTATTGACATGACACACCCATGATTTCCTAGACGACCCATCAAATTATCTTGACGAAGTCAGTCTCAGCGCCTGTGCAGTCAGCTGGTTGTGGCATGTGTGCCTGGCGTGGATAGACCTGTACTCAAACGCGTCGTGTAAAGACTTTTGGTTTAGGTGATCACGTGCCAAATAATAGAACATTCATTCTACATCAAGCGATCATTGATCAACCCCGTTGAACTATGAATTGGTAAAATCAAAATGAACTGTTATTCCCAAGTAGGGTTATTATCTGCACCTTGTGGTACTTCAAGAGAGCTTTCAATAGGACCCCAAGAAATTCCTGGCAATCATGACAGCCGGACCGCCGTGCCTTGTTTTAATAGACACAACAGCGGCCGTACCGAACAGTGGTGCTATACGCGGAATTAAAAACCCATCGCGATCATGTACTGCAGGGCTGAGGCGTGGGTTCTCGGCCCTATTCAATTCTTGGTATAAAGCTTTCCAACTGGAGTTTCGGTGAACAACCTTACCACCAGGTCGCCCGACCTTTCGACATCCGCGTCGTGGAAGCACCATGGATCCCGACCACAACTCACCTCCTATCCCCACTGGAGTAACTGGACAGTCCTCCCAGTCTCAGGGACAGCCTTCTCAACCCGAAGTCCAGGGGCCAGGCTCGCCGTTCGTGGAACCCGAACATGTAGACAGAGGAGATCGTCCGCAGAGCCAGTCGCTGGCAACTGAGGAGCCCCTCCCTGGTGGTTCAGAGGGAGATCATCCGCAGGGTCGGTCGGTGACTGAGAAGCCCCTCCTTGACAGTTCAGAGGGACATTCACCAGCTCGTGATCGCATTGATCGACATCCAGAATTTGAGCCTACCCAACCTCCTCCGGTTGCAAGAAATTTCCTGAGGGACGGAAACCTCATGCGTGGACCGTCGCGTCGTTCAGTTATGGGCCATACCCGCTCCAATGCATCTGGCATAGGCTGGATAGTGCCCGAAGTTGATGAGAAACCTCACGTTTGTGTTGTTTGACACCTTTGCGCTAGCATTTAATCCTGATCCTGACCTTGCAGCGGCGTACAATCGGAGAGCGACTCGACCCAACTATTGCTAATGCGGTGAAGGAGAGGGCGCAATACGCCTCAAAAGGTTAGTTGAAAAGTTCAATTCGGTATCCTAGCATGGAAGGTCTCTTTGTTTCTGGCAAATTCCTGACAATGTTCCTTTCTTTGAAGCACGAATGACAGGCCTTGCGTTGAACATTGCCATAGGCATGCAAGTTATCCTTGGGGCACTCACTACTGGTATTTCGGCAGCCACTTCGGGTAGGCAGGTTAGTTCAAAGAAGTCCATGGGGGTTCATGACAAACTGACCAGCCACTGAATTAGACTTCGATTGGTATATCCATTCTTGGTGTGTATTACGTCTTTCAAATTACCTGAAATTTAAGACGGTTAGGCGGCATGACGACAATGGTCGCTTCCTATCTCGCCCGTGCACGGGGATCAAACGAACCAGAACTATCCATAACTCGCGTTAAGGACCTAGATCATTTCTTGAGAGATTGCTTAGCTTTTAAGATGGACTGCGGGCACGAGTATGGGACACCTGAGCTGGATGATCGGTTAGAGCATCTCAGAAAAAGATTTGAAGAACTTCTTGGAAATGCTGATGGGTAGGTCATGTTACGTTTGTGTTGCTCGGGCTGCGGCTAACGACATGTTTTAGGCAGCGAAAACTTTCCCCGCCGGTGTAAATGTGATTGTTTTAGGTTCCTACGACGCGCATTCTACGAAGTCCCCCTTACCATTCATTTTGTGTGATACATTTCCAAGTGATTATTACTTCACTTTGGCCGTTCTCTCATGACTCGGACACATACCACATTCCTCCACATATCACACCGTTGTAAGTTACCACTTGTTCGCTAATACACGTACTGTTCTTCTCGTATGCAATTTCCTATAAGTGCGAATAAGATACCAGACCACTGCATTTATGAGGCGAACGCCACATGAATGTTTGGTTTGATAAGAAGTAAAGAACTACATATAGTGTTGGAGCCTTGGCGCACTTTCCCTAATATTTCCTGATACTTACACGGGCCACTGTCTACTGAACATGTGGGGGGTAATGTCTTATTTTATCTCATCCTACCATGCGAACAATGGGAGTACTAGTATTTATTGAAGCATATCACAGCTTTGATTTTGATTACCCAAGGGCCAAGATGGCAAGATCACATTGACCAGGTGATTTTCCACTTTATGACGCGTTCAACGCACGTGATACTGACCGCTGTGCACGTGATCCCCTTTCCAGTCATAAAGACTTCAGACTTGACGGTGAACAATGAGCACATCCCCACAGTTTGTCAAAATATCCAAGATGAAGACCAAAAACAAACAGACAAAGTTCCCCGTTGTGAGCTCCTGCGACAAAGTGCTCCTCTAACGGGTCGTAGCTCATGTCCGATGACAGGCACGAATCAAGAAGATTATGCAGAAAGATGAGGAAGTTGGCAAGGTTGCGCAAGCTACGCCAGTGGTCATTTGTACGTCTCTATACACTGATTTATCCCTTATCCTTATATCTCGTGAACGTGTTTGCGACGCTTCTGATATCAATGTTTGGCATCCTTGGTGCGATAGCAAAAGCATTGGAGTTATTCCTGGCTATGATTGTGGACGAGGCGACTAAAGTCACGGTTGAACGGGGAGCAAAGAAGGTTGAAGCTTATCACCTGTGCGTTCATTGCTACCTTGTCCGCGATCTTGTGGTGAATATATATGCACAGAAAGCATGCGATCGAAACAACAGAAATGTTGGATTTCTTGAAGGAAATTGTTGAATCTGTACCTGACCCTTCGGCGGGTGGCACCATCGACTTGCAAGCTGAGGCGGCAGAGAATGCGAAGCGAAAGAGGAGCAAAGCGAAGAAAAATGGGGCGGCACCTGGAGAGGCCCCAAAGAGACGGCGGAAAAAGAAAGAGGAGGAGGCTGACATGGAGGGTGTGCCAGAAGAGACGATGGGAGAAGCAAAATCTGAGGAAGGAGACCCTCGAATGGAAGACGATGATGATGCATATGAAGAGTCGTCGTCTCGTCCCCGGCAACGACGAAATGATGATGACGAGGATGACATGCCATACGTACCACGATAACAAAATTTGCATGGTGTAGGGTTGGTGCCAGGAGTGTAAAGCGTGCGCTATAACTGCTTCGTGATATTTATCATTCTTATCATATCCCATATCCCTTCGTCCATCATATCTGACCAGTTGTACTGTACAGCATAATCTAGGACCTACACAAGTTCTACCTCGCCTCGAGCAATCAGTTGCTCCACCACCGAATACGGGGTTAAAGATATATGCCCCTTCCGCATATCTAATGCGGTCCCACTGTAGATCTGATTAGAGAAATCAACATCGGTCGATATTCAGCAACATACTCTGGCAGCCGCACTGGGGGACAATCTTGTCGAGCAAGCACAAAGACTGCACGAGCCTTGTCTGGTTCAGTAACTAGATACGATCATAAGTACCACTCTTCCCAATAAAATACTGACTTCCGTACCCATGGAAGGTACAAAAGGAGGTTGATCATCAAGAGTCTGCTGGGTCTCTGGCAAACTCTGCAGAACTGAATGGTAGAAATGTTGATCGGTCAAACGGGCAAACCTGGGGACATGGTTAACCCCCATGCTACTTCTCGCAAGGTTCACAACATACCGACGCGCGTGCTCGACTTCGCTTTCTGAGAGCCGCTGCTGGACTTCAGGATTGGTCATGATATACCGAGCAAACTTCTCGATCTGTAAGACATAATGTAGTATCTGAAAAAATGGAGTAGAAAGGAGGAAATGACCTTGAATAGACGGGTGCGGAGGTATGACCTCACTATAAATTTGACTCGTTCTACCTCCGTCTGAACGAGCATAATCCGAAAGTGCTCCTCCTCAGAGGACGTGGGGTCTGTGCGAAGGAGTTGCACAGTCTCAGACTGCAAGTCATCGAGTTAGATTTGTCTGCCGGGTCATTCTAAGGTCACGACATGGCTCACCAACCTGACTCCTGATATGGTCAAGCAGTCCCGCCAATAACTCTCCTTCATTTGGGAGGATGTCAGGCGAGTGCCGCTCGTTCATCCAATGTCTTATAAGTTGCTGTAGTGGTGTTTCTTCCTCTTCCTCGAGCATGAAGGGAGGTGCGTCTGGTATTTCTGCACCGTCGTCATCTCGTGGGGCTTGTCGAAGTCGCTCCTGAAAGGTATTATTATTATTAGCAGCACGGCCAGGTCGGTCGAGGTTTGTGAAAAAGTCGTCGTCGTCGATGTCCATGAATCAGGTATTACTAGATCTTGGTTCTGCAAGAGTCGCTAACCGCGTCGTTCGCGATCAATAAAGGTTAACACAAGTCAGATCGCGTTTCGGAAATGTCATCATCAAATTCTATACATATATGTAACACACATAACCTCGACACTATGGTACATGGATATGTATTGTGCAGAATCACGAAAGCGGGAAATGACACGGACTCGTCGAGACTGCAAGCACATAATCTGGTTTATCAATGGATTACACACGAGAGTTATCCACGACACGATACAAATTCAATCACGCAGCATCATTCTCAACAAGCTTTCCGCAAATGATATATTTATTCGAGAAGTGGTCAATCCATCCTGTGTATCTCAATATGAGTGATTATTGCTCTTCAAGCGACTAATTTGACCTCACCTCTCATGTTCTCGCTAAGCAATTGTCAATCCTATAAGCAATGTAAAGATGGAAGCAAATAATTTCTTACATTTCATCTGGTCGGAGATCCTGGAGCTTGTCAAGAGGTTGGTCAACCGCTGTTAACATGTCTGACGGCATTTGAATTAGATGTTGTGTAAGGAACGTCCAGTGGTTCACCCACCCATATCAAAGGACTGCTTGGCCATACCACGAGATGCATCACGACCAGCAAAATTGCCATACATGCCATCTATATCATAGTGTGAGTCGGTCCTTAGGATGAATTGACGAGGCAAGCAAGTGTACCTGGCCCATAAAAGTTCCTCCCCGCTGTTACGTCGAATACGATGCTGTTGATGGCGAGCAAAATTCTACCTCCGTCCTTGCCACTGAATGGTTCCAGTGTCTTCGGGGTATATGTCTTGAACAACACAGTGGGAGGGTGTTCCTTAGGCATCCATGAATAACCATGCTTGAATTCGCTGGGGACTGTTTTAGGTATGGATGTGGAAGGGAAAACGATCTTCTGCACAGAGTAGAGAATGTAAATGAGGAGAGCCGTATTGACGGGGGTACTGAAGTCAAGAGTGTATGCCATAACGATGTTACGTCGACGTCGGTGGTGGTTCAGTGCAATAACAATGGGCGGCGGCGGACAAACCCGCTCGGCGCTTGAAGTTACTAATACTACAACTGAGCCTCGACCGTGACGTGGCTTGTCTAGATACGGTCCCACCAACTGGCACTGAATAAATTTCGAATCCTGACTCTTGGCCATCAATGCGGCTGGACCTTCGATGGAACAACTGACTTATTGATCTAGTACCCAGGGGCATCGTACTATCATGATGTAGTGAAGTTGCATATTAACTGAAGTCCAGGCTGTCAGGACCCAGGACGATCACCTCATAACATTAGTGCCCACTGCTGCCCAGGCCCCTTACCTTTGTGGGTTGTGTGTGGGGCCCGCAACCTTGGTGGGATAGTGGATTGCCTGAACAGCGAAACAATCATGGCAAAATGTTGTCGTCTCCTGATTAACGAACGGTACATCAGTGCGTGCAATAATGGACTCCAAATGTCCCATTGAATATGTGTTCAGATCGACGAAGATGACCACGATGGGTGCCGGTGAGTTGTATATGCATATCTTTCAACATCTGATCTATGGGCTTTATAATTGCAGCATCGATATTTCGCACTTCGTTTGACCAGCGCGACAACAAGCTGTCGTACCGGCGAAACCTGCAGCAACACCAATTGTTCAACAGCAGTTTGGGACCAACCTGGTTGGTGGTGCCATTTGACATCTTTTATTTTCTAATCACCCTACCTCCTAGGATGGTCTTATATTAATTGATTAACTTCACATACCCGCGGATTGGATCATTTTCGGATGTGACACGAGTTCAGTCACATCTAACCCTTACAAACACTATCGACGCTCGCCAAAGGTGCTGATAGTAGAGGCTGTCTCCAATGGAGACGAATGTGAACATTTATCAAACTCACCGCATTTAACTGATGCGATCTCGATATGAACTTGCCATAACGCCCCGGCCTAGATGAATTAATTGGCACAGGACTAATACTTCCGCAAAGGAGTGTGGACAAACCACGATTTGACTTGTTCCTGGCCAGTAAGTACGTCTTATGATCACCCATGAACATAACCATTTCTAATAATGCCTTTATTTTTGTTCAGCCGAGAATGCTGTATCCATGATACCATGCAATACATTTTAAGGGCCAACCTGGCACATATCGTTATAATGGGTATTATAAGGCATCTGTGACTTAGGGCCCCTTTTGACGGCCTTACGTTGAATGTAGCCCGCCCCGGCACCAAATTGTAGTCTTGTAAAGGCACTTTGAAGGCGTTGACTAAACCTGTAATCCGGCAGCATTATAAGGACCCTTTGGTTTTTTCCGACATTATTTCTTCTCGGGACCCAAGGTGTTTTTAAAAGTATAATATTGACGTCTACGGTCTACTAGCATCGCTGATCCGGAAACAGAATCTTGCGGCTGCATGCCGCCATGAGTTTACGAAGCTGGAGAACTCCTAATTATGACGTATTCACTACTCGTCGTCGCTGGTGGACACCAACCGGGACGGACTTGGCTTCATGCACGATGAACGCGTCGACATATTGCGTGAGTGTTTTAGATCCAAGCCGCATTGTCCGGTGCAAACGCTTTGTGCTGACCATTTCAGCAGCTCATACTTGATGGGACGATCGCAATCTAGGTGTCGAAATTGGTCTGTCGGATTTTTATTCTGGATCACCTCCTTCTGTGCATCACTACAATGGTAATTCGTTGCTACGAGAAATCAGTCGCTGCGTAGTTTGACGATGTCTCAGGTCACATTATCCGACAACTGCCTTTTTCACGCGGGCCGTTTTCGATTATTTACAAGAAACTGTAGTGCGTGCCGATGAGCATCAAACGACAATCGGCGGGAATGCGCCATGTGCCCCTCCGCGTTTCAGGCATCAGCATTCAGTCGATCATTACCACATGTTCTTATCGCTCTCGTCCTCGCAAACGATTTGACTAATGGAACTGTAACCCTGGCGTATGTTATTCTCATCAGATGAAATCATTCATCTCAGTTGATCTGCTGATCCGTAAACCCGCACCGCACATACATACATACGATAGACAAGCGGGAGTAAGCCCCCCGCGAACAGGGCTATGTCCGACATAGGGTCTTCGACCCTAAAAGGACAATAAATTTGATTCAAAAAAAAAAACCTGCACCGTCAATCTCGCCACGTTCGTAAATACATCGGATCCAATTTCCTGGACCAGTGGTATTTCTGACTCGATCGGCTGTCAGCACACTCGTGTTGCTCCTATCGCCTGCAAGCTCATTACGCTAGATCCAGTTAGAAATTATCTCCTGGTATGTACACGACAATGCGAGGCTTTCTGAAGTCGCCTAACGACTGATGGCTCGAGCTCAAGACTTTGATACACTTAACATACGCTTCTCTAGATGAAATGAAGAAAATTTGTTAATGATAGCTCGTTGCGCGAAGGTACAACGTGTTGATCCATTGTCAGTCTATCAGGACATTCTGGCCTCGATGGTGTTTCTGAGTCCTGACATCCTCACGCCGAAAGTTACAGTTCAAGGGTTCTGTTATATCTGGAATACGTTTCGAATTACCGAGTAATTCAGCTTTGCAGGGCCGAGACAATCCGAAGACGTCAGGCTGAATGAAACCTTAATGCATAACGTTTTATCTAAAACAAAGACGCGGGCCGATAGCATACTACTCTCATTACGTTTATAAATTTCAGTCATCAAGTCCCATATCTGCACCTCCGTCTCGCAAGTTTCTCGTGACCCGTATGAACCATGGAGCTGCCGGCTCCAATCCACATACATCCGGCTTCTCTCACTGTATCTTAACGCTGGAATGCCCGTGTCCTGCGGCAGTACTTACTTCGAAGAGAACTCTTTACACAGTCGGTTTTTGTACGTTTGAGGGAATGAGTGCGAGTAAGGATAGAGAATCGTTTTCCGATCACCGTTGGTATTCCGGTGACGTTGTTTTATCACCTGCAGGGCATGTTGAGGGAAAGCGGGTACCCCTGTTGTGTTTCACCGATATTAGTCCGACCTAAAGATCGAATCTCAATCCTACTTCCATGAGTGACCTTGCATGCAGCATTTCGAATCGAAACCTGCAGTTCCTTGGCAGTTCCTAATCAGAATCGAATCTCTTCCACCAATCAGAGAGCTCGATCCCTCAAACGTCCGCGTCAAGCTTCAAGCGTCAACGTAAAAGTCAGTTCGAGCAGATAGACAAGATACCTGCCTAAGACATGCAACCTCATGCAACCTAATTTCTGAATCATAGCCAGCGCTTGCTGACTCGTTAGCATCAGAGATGGAAAATGTGTTGTCACTACGCACGAAGTGTCACTCTGTCGGAAATTTCATTTCTGGGTTGCAACCGTGCTATATACCGGAAAATTGGAAATAACCGTCCGCACCGTCCTGTCCGTCCCACCCTAAATTTGGTCATCCGGGACGCCTTGGCATTTCTCCGAAATCTCGTCTCCGTCGTAATTTCCATATATGTGGATTTTGGGGCCGATTGCGCATCACATTCACACCTTGCTCGTTACTCGAACCTCGACTTACCACACAGTGTTGCTGTTATCCTTGAATACATTGAGTGCGTTACTCAGACTAATATGTGTGAAACTGTCATCAAAGCATGACCAGAAAAAGATTCTATATACAGCACGGAACACCTACGGATGTGCGAGACGGTGCTCAAACCACGATAATGAAATCTAAGGCTAAGACATGACACGTAATAATGATTATTGATTACCAATTATATCCGGTCATATCAACTTCGGGTTGATTTCCTGATGTCACATCGTTCTCATTCCGACCATGGCAGGGTCCCATGATATCGCCACGAATTGGATCCATAATGCGAATGTCACCGATATCAAAGAGTAAGTGTTTTACTTTATAGTTTTCATCAAAACAGATCAGACCTGACCGGAATATTTATGCTTTGACAGATCCACATTGTGTTGACATAAATTTTACATGTTGTTGAACACTCTTGCAAGTTGCTGTCCTAGCCATCTGTCCGGAGAGTCTGGATTGTAAATTGTGATGTGCTGCACAATGCAGCAGCCTTCCTTTAATCTGAGAGGTATTAGGTGATTCTCATATCGCCTCCGTCCGACTCTCATTCACCGCGAGTGACACAATTGCCCCTGTTAACAATACCGTGCAGGGAGCTTGGAATGGGCATACGGATAACCAAGCAAATGGAGAAAATCTCAATTGAGTTAAGCTCCTTTGAGTTAATTTTACTCTAAGGGATGACAATGCTTTAACAAACCTTCGAAGGAATTCGACGGGAATGACACATCCAGAATCTCTGCACATAATCGAGATCTTCACTGATGTTGAGATGCGTCATGTGTCTGATTCACATTGGTCATGGGGATACCTCTTATAATGTGAAGCTATCCATCCATTTCGACAGAGAACGTTTCCAACCTCCCCTTCAACTGGTCGCTCCTGAACTGACAAACCGCCATATCTTGTTTGTAGTTTTCGGGTGCGATGCTACCACTCCCGCCTCTCTCCCCGGCTGAAACGCTGGTTGATCATGGACCCAAGAAACTTTCTCTCGCTCGCAGACTAATTTTACTGGCTATGTTCTGTCTTGCCCAGTTTTTAGATTCTTTCAATAACTCAGCTCTCTTCTCCGCAATCCCTAGACTCGAGGTATCCATGGGTATGACTGAAAGTCAATCCACTTGGATTATCAGTGCATTCCAGTTGACCTTTGCATCTTTTCTGCTTATCGTGCGTGCTCATCCCATTGATTCTGACCTTGCACTTTGACGTATTGTTTAGAGCGGCCGCATTAGCGACGTATATAACCCAAGTTAGTTCTATGCCGTACCCGTTAAATAGTGACATTAATGGGCTCACAGAAAGTGTGTTCATTGGGGGTGTATCTGGTCTTGGTGTCATCTCACTGTGTGCTGGATTTGTTAATGACACCATTCTGGTCATCGTTCTTAGGGCGTTGAGTGGAATAGGTAAGCATTTTCGCTGGTGTGATGGTTTTGCTGACGAAGATCGCTCCTCAGCTTCTTCAATGACAATCCCCTCTGCCCTAATACTCCTGGTCAATGTATTCCCCGAACCGCTTGAACAAGCTCGGGCAATAGGGTTATTTGGTGGCTGTGGCAGCGTCGCTAACAGTGAGAATCATGCCTAGCTGATCATCCATGACTAGCTTCATGGTTCCCCTTCATAGTCCTCGGTCTCGTGATCAGTGCAATGTTTGTCGAATGGGCATCTTACCATTGGGTGTTTTGGTTTGTAGCCATTGTGGCTGTGCCAGTGGCTCTGGCATGTGTCTTCATCATACCGCCAGAAATTTCAAAGACCACAGACAATCTTGAACCTGCAGTAGCGAAATGGAAAAGTCTTGACTTAATCGCAGTAAGCATCCTAACTGGTATGAATTTCCAGCATGCTCCACTTCGACATCGCTCACAGGCTCTGATAGTTGCCTTAATTTTGTTCATCTTCGCTGTGACATCCGGCTCCACTGATGGCTGGCCATCTGCAATAGTGCTGGTCCCGCTGATCATATCAATTTTAATGGTGATTGGGTTTTTCTACTGGGAAACACTCATACCCGTGGACAAAGCTGCAATGTATGTTATCAGGGATGCTTGTACCGACCACCGGGCTGATCTTGTTACAGACCACCCCGAACATGGTTTTACCACAATTTTTCCATTCTTTTTGCCGTCGCGCTCTTACCATACCTTTGGTGGAGCACAGTGTTCACGATTTTTACCACCCTGTGGCAAAACGTATTTGAGTGGTCGGTCATATCATTGGCTGTACACATGTAAGGGCTTCAATATCATTCCATGCTGTCCATCATTAAGACTGTTTTTACTTACAAGGTTCCCGATTGGTATCATGGCCTTCGCTATGAGTTTCACCGGATTGCTTTCTCGCATCTTCAGTCCAAAATGGATTATTCTCACTGGTCTGTCCTTTTGCATGATCGCTACTGTATTGCTGGCACTTGGTGGGGGGGAGCCCCAGGATTATTGGTCATATATATTGCCAGCTTTTGCTCTAGGAAGCGCAGGGGCCATGCTGACGTATACACACACAAAGTAAGTTCAAATTATTGTGGTTTCATGACCACGTTTTAATTGCTGTAATCATAGCATTGCTATTTTTCAAGCCAGCACCTTCATCCATGGCCGGCACAGTTGGTGCCATCTTTAACGGCGCTCTTCAATTTGGATCAGCAATTGGCCTCGCTGGTGTCAGCTCGATAGAGACATCCGTGGAGGCCATCCGAGCATGGGGGCTCACATGAGTTTTATGGACGAGCCGCAACATTTTGGTTCCTCTTTGCACTTGTCTCTATTCAATTCATTTCAGTATCAATATTCTATGACCGCAGTACGGACCACACACCCCAACCAAAACACGGCAACCCCGTAAATCCTGCTCAACTGAGTACACACCTTGACCAAAAGCTTTCACAATGTGAACAGTGACCACGACGGTAGTAAACGAACAAGCTGATCTAGCGGATCTGCCGGTGTAGTTTCTTTCTTTGGATGACTGTTTCTTTAGACGACCGTTTCTGTTGATGACATATTTCTCTTCACTACTTCACGACTATACATACGACTGGCAGGGTACATAAATGTATTTTTCATTTCATGATTTGGGCTACCATTAGAGGTAGGGTAAACTTCATACAGTATTTTTTTGCTATATCCTTTACGCATCTGACCATGGGTATATCAGTAGACTGTATTGATTAAGAGACATACGATTGATGTACATCACAGATAGGATTTGACGCCGAACTTGAAAAGGGTTGGCCCCGGTTGGATGCTGCCATTGGATGAAAGCAGGTGACCAATTTCCTTTAAAGGCTAGTACTCGGTTACTACTTCCAGCCAGCCGACTCAGCTGCGTTCGACCCTTTCGCCAGTCTCTGAACGACGACAATGAGTTCTGCATATCCAATCCAGCAGTCACGACAGTATACCCCCCACATACGCTCTCAGTGCGAACACTGTAACGTTCAGGTTGAGTTTCCAGTGCCGTCTCCTACTCCGGCACAAGGCACATTATTGCGCGTTCGTTGCTTTAAGTGCCAATCAACCTATACACATGCGTTCTATCCTACACAGCTACCACCTGGCTACTCCACTACGTTGGGCTCAACGCCTCCACATAATCCGATAGGCTCTGGAAGTACTCCACCACTTTCAAATGCCAGGAAAGGTCGTAAGATTGGCACGCAGGAGAAACCTTTGGAAACAGGGTACTATGACCTTCTAGGTGTTCCCATAGATGCAAGCACAGATGATATCAAGAAATCGTACCGTACGTGTACCTTGATTGATGATGACAGATTTCTCACTTACCTGCTTTATCAAGGACGGCTTGCAATAAAGCATCATCCTGACAAGAATCGCGATGACCCACACGCGGAGGAAAGGTTTAAGGAGATTGCCATTGCTTATCAGACCCTATCAGACACAGAGCTCCGCAAGAAATATAACGAGTTTGGTCCCAAAGAGAGTCAGCCGGAAGGAGGTTTCGTCGACCCGGAGGAAATATTTGGGGCGATGTTCGGTGGAGAGAGGTTTGCGCCAATAATCGGCCAGATCAGTCTTGCAAAGGATATGAAAGCTGCCCTACAAGAGGTAGAAGAAAATGAGGGCGAAGACCACAAGGACGTGAAACGTGATGCAAAGGGCAAGGAGATCCTGAGTGAAGAAGAGAGAGCTCGAAAGGAGGAGAAAGAGAAGAAAGTGACAGCAGAGGTGCTCCCTTTCTGTTTCGTTCCACGAAAAAAATCTCACAACAGTGTTCTCAGAAAGCAGCAGCTCGTGCAGAGCGAGTCCAGAAACTGTAAGATTTCATAATTTGTGACTCTATGAGATTAACGACATTTGCAGCGTGGAGAACCTTGAGCGGAAACTCAGTATATTTACGGAGTCCGCAGCAGGTCCATACGACCCTGATGTTACAAATAGCTGGCGCACTATCTGCCAGCTTGAAGCGGAGTGCGTATATCGTGCACTTACACGTTGCACTCGCTGAGATCATCTTTCCAGGGATCTCAAGAAGGAGTCTTATGGTGTCGAGCTTTTGCAGGCCATAGGCTTCGTGTATGTCTCGAAAGCAAAGCATTATCTTGCTACGAATCAAACATTGTTTGGAGTCGGCGGCTGGTTCCACAACGTCCAAGGGAAATACCACGTATTCAGCGAAACGTAAGTACTGAGAACTGTTAATGCTGTCTTAGATTGACATCAGATAGTGTGTCAACACTGCGATCGGCGATCGAATTGAAAAGCGTCTTTGATCAAATTGCAGCAGCAGAGAAAGCTGGAAACCTTTCTCCGGAGGAGAAGAAGAAATTGGAAGAGCAGGCTGCTGAGAAAGGCATTCAGGCCCTTTTCAAGGTTCTTCATTTTCTATTCGAAGTCAATGACATGTTTGATGATATTGTCAGGGCACGAAACTTGAAATCGAGTCTGTATTGCGCGAAACTTGTGACCGCGTCCTCGAGGACCTGACAATATCCCGCCCTAAAGCCCAGATGCGGGCTGTTGCGATGCAGATTCTTGGAGAATCATACGTGGCCATTAGAAAGGACGTAGACGGACATCCAGACGAAAGCGAATACGTGAGGATCGACACAAAGAGCAGCCGAGAAAAAGACCGCCAACGTTCTTGATCTGCTGCCTCTACGTTCGTTTTGCTATACCAAACAATGCATCTTACCCATAACTTACTCGTTCCCACTCATATAATCACTCATCTCACTTTGTGCATGTCCATGTCAATTATACATTCCATGCGTCGTACATCTCATACTCATGGCTAATTAAAATCATCCTAGAGCTCGCCAGCAGCGCCCGGTTGAGTATTTTCACTGATAGGTAGCGGCGGTTCACTAGATTCGGCAGAGGCTTTGGTTACCTGAGCATTCTTGCCTTTTCCCGGCGGAGGCGGATGGTACACCTTTTCCTAGCATAAATGCTCAGCATGAGTATTGAGTCGAGAGAGACGACCAACCTTCTTCTTCTTAGGTTCCGTTTTTGCATTTGGATCTGGGTACGCCAACTTCTCTACTTCTTGCCACTCCGGAGACTCAGCAAAGGCCTTCCGAATCGGTGCCAACAAGCTATCAATCGCCTTGTTCACAGCTGTCTTGAGATCACTAGGGTGAACCTTCTTCGCTGAAAAATCTTCCTCCAGCTCCTGGTAGTCCTTGTAATGACTTGGGGGACCGCCGAATTTGCCCTCTCGTCTGATGGTAAACACCGTCCCCTCCGGTGCATCATCGTCTACAAACGGATTTTGGTCGCCAATAGCACCCTGGCCTTCTTCACTGTCTACACCTGTTTCTCCTTTCCGACGCTCGATGCGAAGCTGACTTATCGGTATGAGTACAGTTTTAATGAACGCGAGAAGTCCATTCTCTGTGATGTTGCCCTCCTCACAGAAAGCTTTCTTGATCTTGCGCTTGACAGCTTCGGGAGCGTCAAGGAAGTCTATCTTCGAATCAGGATCCGAAGATGACATCTTACCCCCCATGAGACCTGGAACCATGGGGTTCATGAGGTGGGCACGTTTGGCATAGCCTAATCGAGGAAGATAGAGTTCTGCGAACGTGAAAATTTTACGCTGCAGCCAGGAGACGTCAATCGGCGGTCCATTATCTGATTCGCAGATGCACGCACCTGATCGACCCCACCGAACTGAAAGTCAACACCGAGGTACTGCTCATCAAGAGCCTGCAAGCCAGGGTAAAGCAGGCCACTGATAAGTGGACTCTCGACTTGTTTTACGACCTCTGCGCCGGCCTTCTTCGCATCATGCTCTGTCACGGTTGCGCATAATCTGTAGTTGTCGAGGTTGTACTCGCGAGTAAGCTGGTAATCTGAGCCTTGAACAAATATTAATTTTGATGTGGGTATCCCTAATGAGGTGAAGACGGTGCGAAGGAGAAATTTGTAGTATTTTGTCCGGTGGGCGACAAGTTCTAAAGGAGCCTTTAGGTTGTCGAGGAAAGCGTGTACATCTATGGAGAATCTTGTTCAGCAACCATTGCTCGCATAAAGGGGGTATTGTTGGACGTACCAGCAAGTAGGATCTTAACCTCCACACCAGCTCTCAAGAAATCAGCGATCTTGGTTAACGCGACGAAGTAACCAATGTGTGCTATAGAGCATCTCAATTATCGGGTTTAGCCTGGCAAGCATGTTATACGTACGCCTTCCAGTCGGTGCAGTACCTGGTCAACGCATGGAGCGTCAGTTCAGGTAATCGATCGGAGATGAGCGGACGTACCCCAGTAAGCCTTTGGCGGTCTACCTTCTGCAAGAATGGCCTTGATCGAGTCGCCCCCTAAGACTTCTTGCAGCCTCCGCGTAATCAAGTCGTACTTTGCCTCCACGTCCAACGTCGACGGCATGCCTGTGATGTTGAGGGTATGAATGTGAATCGAACGTTAGTACAACTCGATGTGTAGTGACTGGGTCAGTCAGTGACTCGAAACATTCACTGCCGCTTTTACCTAATGGGAAAGCGATACCATTTCGAAGCAGCAGATAAGATCAAAAACGCTGATCAATGCCTGCGATAACGTGGTCCTCATTCACGCGCAGAAAAGTAGCAGGAATCATGGGTCGTCGAACCTTATTCATATATGCCTGTTTAACTGGGGAAATTTATGTCTCTTCTACATATACAGATCTACCTCGGAACATCAAGTCGATACCACGATAAAAGTCAAAATAAATATGTTCTCTGTAAGGTGCCCAACGAGAGTGGACCACTTGGGTCTTTTCCGTGCTACACATCACCGCCAGTTGATACGTCATGTACGGGCTCCTGGAAAGCAATCGTGCTCATGTCAGTTCCTGCGCCAGGGTCGGCTATGAGCTTGGCATCATAGCCTCGAACGCTGAGGATGAGGCATGGTCCCAGCACAGACATCTGAAGGGACACGGTAATCTGCAAGATGCCATAGTTACCACGGAGGAAAAGTCCTACAGAGATGATGAGTGGTCAGGCGTAGATGGTTCATAAATTGGCGTACCGACAACTTTGGAGATAGTGCGCCGAAATTAAAGCAAGACACAGCAGCATAGCTAGCGGTCGAGAACTTAAGCGGAAAAGTTAACCAAATTCAAGGTCACGAACTCACGCTGCAAAGTAGAATACGTGAGTTCGCATTAATACCATGAAACAGTCCCCCATGGTCCATCCCGTTAATGATCTTCGCAGTTCACGGAAATGTTTTACAACAATCCAGACTGCAGAACACAGCGCAAGGATCTCCCAAACGATGCCAAGTATCCAAATCTCGTCCAAGAGAAGGTGGTCGACTCCATTTTGAATGCACTGATACGTGTCGGACAGGACGAGTTCCTCTGACATTCACTCCGTGAGCGTGATGCGCATATCCATGATCAATACTTACCCCCTGAAGTACGGCGGCTTGTTATTGCGGACATAACCCCGCCCGCAATTGTGAGAGCCAGGAAGAGTGTAACGAGAAAGATCAACCGCACAACCAACTGATGCCAACATCATTGTTTTTTATGTAATGCCAAGCTGGAGAACAGTGGCTGCAAAGTACTGGACCAAGCGATGGAGATTTCGAGGGTAACGAGATTTGAGATTCTGACAGATCATATAACAGTGCCGAGAAGGGCTCCTGTTTTGTGGCATCCGTCCGATGCCACAAAGGCTGGTTACTCGGGTGCTGAGTTGAAGATGGCGGCTCACGATGTAACTTGATGATCCGAATGTATGCATGTGCCATTGTAATGAATCCATACTAATTTACGCCAAAGAGTGAGAGTGCGAGACGCGTCGAGACGGACGGCGCATATGACTAGACTCGTAACCATTCTGCCTACGTGCTTTTTTGAGATGGCTGCTATCTTGTCGAGAGAGAGCGAGGGAAGGATCATTGCCAGGTGTCTTGCAAGTTGCCAGCACCTGTCGCAGCCCTGACGATAACATGTCTTGATGCGAGCAATGACATGAGGCATTTGCGTTAAAACAACTTTGGTTATTTTGTTCCTTTTGCAAGAAAATTGAGTCGGGCGAAAGAGTCTACGGTGACAATGTTCTGGCGCTGGGATATGTCTAAAGGATCAATAGAATCTGTCGGAAGGTTCTCAAGTGCATCTAGCGCAGTAAGGGACATTGGGGAAATGGAAATGACATCGCAATCCATGGTTGCAAGGCCACAATCATAAGTATATGTGCACGAATAGTAAGCACAAAGACTATATCCCCGACTCCCACGGTTAATGGGAGGATTTCCTTGTCCAACACAAACGCTCTTTTCTCTCTACATTTCTCTGCACCCGACTGTACAGATCAGGATCCGCAACTCCCTGTGTGGCTGAACCTTTTTTCATTCATGCAACGTCGCTCGAACTGCGAAGGCTACAGTGTCTCACATAATACATTTCATTATTTCATGTGTGATTAAAAGTCATCACATCACCGCGCTTTGAACAAGCCAACTGGTCAATATTCATGCCCGAGGAAAAAAGCTTAAGGGGTCTCGCGTGTATCAGACAAGTCTTAAGTCGCTCAGAGTCCTACCCTTCACTGGGCCGCACAAGGCCCTGATGCCGAAACCACATGGTGAAGGAGCGGACGGGAAAGGTAAGCGTTAGCGAAAGGCTAATGGTCCCGCCGGACAAGGTTCTCCATCCAAGAAGGTGTCAAGGTGTAGGGCGGCCTGTGGGCTTCGTGACTCATTGGAAGAATGTGCAGAATCGTTCAGGAATGTGCGCATGCTGCATCGTAGGACAACACAGCGCCCTTAACAACAACCAGCCCATCGGTTCGCCCCTCCATCATGCGAAAAGTGTCTTTTCTGTATCGTTTTCGGCAGATGGAAAACTACTAGCCACTACCAGCTATAAGGATAAAAATGCGTGTACATTGGTCATTTCTGTGATAGTAAAAGAAGCTGGCCTTGACGCACTTCTACTGGACCAGCGCGACAAGTCGCTACTTGCTGTACGTGACACTCATCACATATCGCATTGTATTTAAATATATGCATTCTAGGCTGATGCTATGTACATGACGTCGATTCCGTCGGCCAACAAGGGTCCCCCAGTGCCGGGTACCCCAAGGGTTCTTCGATGGCACACCACATCATGCTCACGTACGTCGCCCATGCCTTATCTACGTAGTACCGTATTTTCTGACCTCCATGTTCTCAGTTATCTGTGCCACTCGATCCCTATGACACGCCTCCACAACCCAGCGTTTTCACTGAGCTAGAAAGCTTTTCTCTGCCAGACGGTCCAGACCCAGTAGTGCAGAGATCGAGCTGCACGAACGTCGCTCCGCAGTCGTTGACGTCCCATATGCCAAGGGCAAACGTGTATGTCATTTTTGTCCTCGAACATTCGAACCTCATCTCATATCACATAGAGGAACGCATCAGCACGAGAAAAACGGATGGTAACAATTCCATTGAAATTCAAGAACCCTGCTGCAAGCACGCCCTCCCAATAGCAACGCCACACAATCCAGTGGCACGGCTCTAACTCAGTCATCTCTGCAACTACAGGCTACCGTCTCGACGTCTTTCACCACACCTGCCGCTGTCGTTGACACAACTCCAACCACCAGTCATGTCATAATCAAACACGCTGGGCGCTGGACTCGTTTTTGGGTCTCTATATGTTGCAGATTAGGGTTTCTTGCTTTTTCAAGAGGGATTTTGCCAGTTGGTGTGCCGTGTTCTGCTGACTATCTGATTATCATCTTTCTTCCGTCCTCGTTCGGTACTA